TGAAGCACAGCCAACCCGCTATCGAAGAAGGAGTAATCCGAGTTCGGCAATTATCGCAGTCGCACGACGCAAACGAGTCCACCCTCTGCGCGGGTATCTCGAGCACTCAAGGTTATGTTGGTATGTTTGCGCCACCTTGCATCCTAGGGTAGAACTGTGCCTGGTGGTCGAAGCTGGCTTGCGGATGCATCTCGCTAACTTTTTGTCCAGACGCCTTTGTCAACAAGCTTTCCGACCAAAATCGACTTCCTCCGAATTTCTCGATCAAGGCGCTGACTGCGGCCCCTCCTTCCATATCCCGCTCACGTATTGATCAAACGTTGAAGACGGCGCCTCGGCTTGTCTCGGATCAACTTATCAACATCTTCTTCCAGGAATGGGCCCCACTATATCCGGTTGTTCATCGCCCTACCATCCTCAAGGCCTACGAGCAATATCTGTCGGGCCCAGAGTCGTTACGCGATAACAAACACAACCTCACCCAGCTGAACCTAATTTTCGGAATAGCTGCCCTTGCTTCTGCCGTAAGTTCAACCGGGTCAAGAAAACAATGGCCGTCAATGAGACTAACTCCACCATAGTCGAGAACCAACCAGGATCCCTCATTCTTTGAAGATAACTGGTCGCCGATGCTCGAATCCATCTCCAACGACATTTCTATCCACACCCTGCAATGCTATGTCCTTGCGCAAATGTACTGTATGGCAAAGGGCGACTATTCGAGCCTTGGATCCTATAGAGGATTCGCTGTCAATCTTTGCCATCAATTGAGACTTCACCAGAGTCAGAAACGCTTCGATTCTAACCCTCTTGTGGCGGAGACTCGGAAGAAGGTATTCTGGTGTCAATACGTCCTCGATCGGTAAGTCTCGTGTATACTCTACCCCCTCTTAGAATGCACTCTTAACATGGTGCAGGTTCACTGCGGCTTTAACCGGCCTTCCTGTCGTTCTACGCGAGCAGGATATCAAAACCGAATACCCCGAGGATATCGATGATGAGAACGTCACTGAAACAGGCTTCCTGCCCACGCTTCCTGGCGAGACGACTCGCATTTCCAGCTCGATTGCGTTGTTTGCAGCTGCGAGAGTGCTGAACAAAGTCTTGGAGGATGTTTATCCTGGCGATGGCGATTATGATATCTCCTTGCTTAAGATGCGCTTGGTCGCAGAGCAGCTTGATGAATGGGTAAAGGGCCTGCCCGCTCATCTTCGCCTTGAGTTTACACAGGACAAACCCAGCACGAATGTCACGAGCAGTCGATCGCCGCTTCTGGTAAGTTTACTTAACATACCCATAATGATCACATGACGTTACTGACATGTGCTCAGTCGCTTGTCTACTATTTCATCCGCTCTTTGATCCATCGGCCTGCCGTCTGCTTCGGGGAAGACTGCGTTCGATCGCCTTCGCTCCTCATCATCTCTGACTCGGCCAAGCATATAATTCAGATCTTACAGTTACTTGATGAGCGACGCCTGTGCCTTTCTCTCAGCTTCAACCGGAAAGAGCTAATCTTTGCTACTGGCCTCAATTTCCTGTGGCAGAACTTGAACCTGAAACATGATAGCAAACTTGCCAAGGAGAGCCAGAAGTGGATTACAACTGTCGTCGATCTGCTGGAAACCGAGTCGTCCCCTATTGCCGCGGAGTTCAACGCACTGGCTCGAGTTCTGGTATCCCTGGATAGCCACAAGCACGGCTCTTCGATTGGACCTTCGGATATGTCCCCTCCAGCTCAGAAATCCCTGAAGTCTCCCAAGAAACAGCTTCAGTCTTGGAAAGCACGCCTGACTGGTCACTCGAGTCCGTCGCAGACAGAAAAGCAGGATTCTCCATCTCGACGTGCCACAATCTCTAGCGCGAGTACCCATCCCAACGCACGCCATATCCGATCCTCTAGCTGGGCAAGTCTACCTATGGACAATGTACATGCGCCTCAGATGCTTGTTGAGAAGGCCTACCATCGCTCTGCTTCCATGGCTCTCGATAGCAGTCACGCTCTGTCCAGCTCTGCACCTTCGGATGCGACCGCGGGGCCCATCACAGTGTCGGACTGGGAGTTCGTTCTGAGTGATATGGACCGGGGCTATTCGAATATTTTTACCGGAATTTATGGTGGGAGAGAATGTGGTGAGGATAGCGGACCGTTCGCGTCCATCACTGCCGAATATGCCCAAAAGCCCGACCACAATTCAATGTCGCGTAGCGAGCTGCAAGGACTATCGCCAGAGGCGTGGTCCGCTAGTAGCAACAGCGATTTGCAACAGGGTCAAGAGGCTGCGGCGCAGAGCGTTCTCAGCTACTCCGACGAGAGCATGGCAAGCCCGGGCGATGGGATTCCTTACAACGAGGTACACCTATCGCCTGAGGAGCACGCCAACCTTCTGGACCCATTCCATGGTATCATGGTTCCTGGTGTGGATGACGAAGTCCACGATTTCGGGCTTATCAATGGTTGGGATCGACGGCTGGCCGTTTGATCTGTCCCTGGCATAGGGCTACCGCTGTTACGATTTACATGAATGATTCTGTTATGCTTTTTGGTTGTCAAGCGGGGTGCGCTATGGTAATGGGAGTCACCTGTATATAGTGGTCGGACTTTTCTTTATTCTTTTTCTTTTGGTGATACCTGGGGCGTATTGGTTCTATTCTACAAGTGAGATAGTTGCACGAATTGTAAGCTGCTGCTTTTGTACTGCTCTGGTATTCTTCGATCATAGGCAAGCATGGCGATGTCTGATGTGAAGTAATAGTGTGCTGTAAAAGTTACTTCTTACTTGTATACTAGGATCCATCAACTGTTTTCTAGAAGCCGAAAGATATTCTGCTGTACGGGCACCTTAAATCTTGATTGGCTACGAGGTTTTTACAATATATTATTTTTGTTAAGGGTCCAAATGTATAGATAGTATTGTATTGGTCTTCTGTCTGAAGATATTCCGAGGTGCTACATCCCCTAAGCTGTTCGAACCCTTCCGCACCGACGTCGACATAGTTTCAATGCGCTTCTCAATCGATGGGGTGCGCCGGATCAGTCGGTGCTTGAACTCGAACTTTCAGCTTAGCTTTTGTTATGATCCTCCTCTCGGTTTCCTGGAGCTACGACTCATACCATCCTGAAACTACCCTTTCTAGACCAGTTCCAACTTCTGACCCCGAGATATGGTTTTCCATCTCGCGGCGACCGGACGACCACCACGTCGCGCGGCTTCTAATCAGCAAGGATATACTTGTTGACTGTGTTTTGGTGATCTATACTAGATCTATCTTCAACTGGGCTATAAGACCGGCTGCACTGATAGTGATACAGACCTCGTGTAGACCCCGCAAGACCACTTTGTTAATCAGACTCTCTGCGAGAAGTAAATCCGGCCCAGAGCCATTGGTGTACCTTGAAGAAGACGGTCGCGAAGATCCGGCCCGCTGGCCACTTGACGGCGGTAATAGGGTCCTTCGGCGTCGGCGCATCGCAACCAACAGAATCCCGTGGGGCTGTAGTAGCTCCGTGACCAGTTCAAAACGTGCTGCATCATTACTATTAGGGATGAGGAACGACCGTTCTGCTCGTCGGAGAAATTATGGTGGTGCACGTAATCTCAATCACACCCAAAGACCGGCATGCCGCTATTGTTCCGTCCGGCTAATAACTAGTTAGTTATGTGTAGGTAGTTAGTTATGTTAGTTAGTCAAGCTGACTGTTTGGCCCGTGTCTGCAGTCTGCCGCACATGGCCGCTCTGACAGGCGACGAGGGTTCACCCAGCACTCCGGCTAGAAACCGCTTACCCCCTCTGAAGAGATCGTCAACAAAGGAAAAATTTCAGTCAGGTCAGATGATGAGTTGGACTATGGCTTCTAGAAGCCCCTTCTTATTATCAATCAGCCGACTACGGAGTCCTGCCGGAGAAATTCAATAAGAATGATGGGATTTGAGGATTGATTGTTATGATGGGGTGGAGGGAAGGGTTGCGCGGAGCAGCGTCCTCCGGACCCAGCGGACAGAGACACTCCGGGCGATGGTTCCGGAAAATTGCTGCGTTGGGAACTTTCCGCTGACTTGTGTAGGGAGTAACTGGTGGACGGGTCGGGGAACGGAAACATGAATCCTTGAGTTTATATCCGATTTGCGGTCGGTAGGACGGAGTACTATACTTCTCATCGGGTTTAATGGGTGGTGGTGGTCTGCAGGATAAGTGCCAACTCATTGATACGTGTGGAAGAGAGAGCCATGCTGGTTGAGCTGGTTGAGAGGGAGGGAGGGGCTGTTGCTGCTATACCGTCGCATTATTAGGCTGTTTACAGCTTCCCTTTGCTAGCTTATGGAAAGCTATCTCGCTGTTTTGCTGAGCAAGGAACAATAACTGCTGCTGCTGCTGCTGCTGCTGCTATTACTAGTATAGTTGAAGCTCGTATAAGAGTAATGAGATAGGGGAGGAACTGCATTGCTGTTCGACAATGGATACGGATTAATCTGACTCCCTCTGGTTTCATGCAATTGCTTACCTTGGTGGCCTGGGGCATCAATAATGGGTGACTGCATTATTCACTTTCTCCGTGTTTCTCTACCGGTGCTACTCTCCTACCCGGACGTCATTGACATGAAAAAATCATCTCGTCCATCACAACCACAGCTGCCCTGTCCCATGAACCGCCCAGTGCTATTGCCATTGCCATTGCTTCAACTATAGCTGGAGCTCCACCTAATGTCATTGATGATTATGGAATTCTCAGTAAGACTCGTGCAGATATCATCACATTGATGATTGATGATGGTGGCTCCCCCCCTCCTTCCAGAGCAGCCGGTGAGGATTGGCCCCACTACAGACATCATTGCCACCCCACCTTCCCAGTTCGATCTTCCCCCCTCCAAACTACCTCACCCACCCTGCACAGTTCAACCCCCCCCCTCCTCAATGCCCGGCCGGGCGTTGTTCCTCCTCCATCCCACGCCGCCCCTCGTCTCGCTTTTCCCTTTTCCCCAATCTCTTCATCTTATTCTTCTTCCTTCCTTTTCCTCTTCTCCTCTCTTTCCTCCTCGTGTTTCTTTCCCCTCTTCCATCTCGTGTTGATCTTACCTATTTGATTGTTGGTACGATCACCTTCAAGAATTAAATTCCTACTTCATATAGACAGAGTTTAATATAGTATGTCCTTCCCCTCATATACTCTCTCCTCCCCTCCCTTAACAGCAACAGTCTTGATCTTTCTTTCACAAAGGTTGCTTTCTTGCTTACCATTCGTTTGACTCCAGATACCGCAATCATGGGCTACAGCGACGTTGATCAATTGGCTATCAACACCATCCGTCTGTTGGCGGTAAGCATTTCCCCTCTCCCGGTGACAATTCTCCACGAAAGCAGCGCAATGGATTCCTTCGGATGAGATATCCTTGGTGTCGAGTAACCAGCTAATCGCCGTGTAGGTTGATGCCACCTTCAAGGCCAACTCCGGTCACCCCGGTGCCCCCATGGGCATGGCCCCCGTGTCTCACGTTCTCTTCAACAAGTTCATGACCTTCAACCCCCAGAACCCCGACTTCCCCAACCGTGATCGCTTTGTTCTCTCGTAAGCTCGACCTGGCGTGCAGCACGCCGTCCAATCTCCCCTGAGCTCTCTCCACTGACACCCTGCAAAACAGCAACGGCCACGGCTGCATGCTCCAATATGCTCTCCTTCACTTGTTCGGCTACAAGGTCTCTATGGATGACCTGAAGAACTTCAGAGTAAGCACTCTCCTAGTCTGAAGCGTCTCGCTTTCGGATTCTAACAATGCGCCCATTTAGCAAATCGACAGCATCACCCCTGGTCACCCCGAGGCCCACGACACCCCCGGTATCGAGGTCACCACTGGCCCTCTGGGTCAGGGTTTTGCCAACGCTGTTGGTTTGGCCATTGCCCAGAAGCACTCCGCTGGTGTCTTCAACAAGCCCGGCTACGAGCTGTTCAACAACCACACCTTCTGCTTCTTCGGTGATGGCTGCGCTATGGAGGGTATTGCCAGCGAGGCTGCCTCGATGGCTGGTCACTTGAAGCTTGGCAACCTGATTGCCATCTACGATGACAACCACATCTCCATCGGTATGGCCTACTCTTCAGCCTGGCTATGAGGCGACCGTCTTGCATTTAACAGACCACTGACCTTGTTTGTTGCAGATGGTGACACCAAGTGCGCCTTCACTGAGGACGTTACCAAGCGTTTCGAGGCCTACGGATGGCACACCGTCTGGGTCAAGGACGGTGACAACGACCTTGATGCCATTGAGGCTGCCATCCGCGAAGCCAAGAGCGTCACCGACAAGCCCTCCGTCATCCGTTTGACCACTACCATTGGTTTCGGCTCCAAGCTCCAGGGTACCGGCGGTGTCCACGGCAACCCCTTGAAGGCTGACGACATCGAGAGTGTCAAGCAGCGTTTCGGCTTCGACCCCAAGCAGACCTTCGTCGTTCCCCAGGAAGTCTATGACCTCTACCACAAGCACGCCGCTGAGGGCGCCGCCGCGGAGCAGGAGTGGAACAAGCTTCTCGAGAAGTATGCTTCCGAGTACAAGTCCGAGCACGCTGAGCTCACCCGCCGTCTCTCCGGCAAGCTTGCCGAGGGCTGGGAGAAGAGCCTGCCCACCTACAAGCCCTCCGACCCTGCCGTGGCTACCCGTAAGCTCTCCGAGGCTGTCCTCGAGAAGATCCACGACGTTGTTCCCGAGCTCCTGTCTGGCTCTGCCGACTTGACTGGCTCCAACAACACTCGCTGGAAGAACGCTGTCGACTTCCAGCCCCCTGAGTACAACATCGGTGACTGGTCCGGTCGTTACCTCCGCTACGGTGTCCGTGAGCACGCCATGGCTGCTGTCATGAACGGTCTCGCTGCCTACGGCACTGTCATCCCCGCCGGTGGTACCTTCCTCAACTTCGTCTCCTACGCCGCCGGTGCCGTCCGCCTCTCTGCCCTCTCTCGCGTTCGCGCCATCCACGTCGCTACCCACGACTCCATCGGTCTGGGTGAGGACGGCCCCACTCACCAGCCTATCGAGACTCTTGCCCACTTCCGTGCTCTGCCCAACTGCATGGTCTGGCGCCCGGCTGATGGTAACGAGACCAGCGCTGCCTACTACTCTGCCCTGACCGCCAAGCACACCCCCAGCATTCTGGCTCTCACCCGTCAGAACCTGCCCCACCTCGAGAACTCTACCATTGAGAACGCCCTCAAGGGTGCTTACGTTGCCGTCGACGCTCCCGACGCTGCCGTCACCCTCATCTCCACTGGTTCTGAGGTCAGCATCTGTATCGAGGCTGCCACCTACCTCAAGGAGAAGCACGGCATTGCCGCCCGTGTCGTCTCCGTTCCCTGCTTCGAGGTCTTCGACGCCCAGGACAAGTCCTACAGACTCCAGGTCCTTCCCGATGGTATTCCCATCCTCTCCGTCGAGGCTCTCACCACCATGGGTTGGGAGCGCTACTCTCACGAGCAGTTCGGTCTCAACCGCTTCGGTGCCTCTGGTCCTTACAAGGAGGTCTACGCCGTAAGTCTTACCCCATTTTCCTGCTTGAATGTTCCGTCACTAATCCATTCCTCCAGAAATTCGAGTTCACTCCTGAGGGCATCAGCAAGCGCGCCATCGCCACCATTGACTTCTACAAGGGTCACAAGGTGCGCTCGCCCATTAACCGTGCTTTCCAGCAGATTCTGTAGACGTCTTGTTTTAGCGACGTGATGACTTGTTACCTATATTTTCATGTTTATGGTTCTTATGGACGATGTTGATCCTAGGGCCTAGATGGCCCCTCAGGAGAAGTCCTATTTAACGAATGTCGTTTTAAGATAAAATGCACGATTTTCTATTTTGGTTACTTGAGGGTGTTGAGGTAGTAGGAATCGTATGTTAAGCCCATGTAGATCAAAATCGTACGGGGTAAGCTGGTCGGTTGACCCTTTCCCAATTCGATCGTGTTCAGAGCTCCGACTCAACGGACATGAGCGGCATTACTTATCAGTATCTACTCGATTGCGTATTGTTAAGTACCATGTCGGATAAAGATAATGAAGGGAAAAATCTTTTGGTTATATTCATCATCGTCAGATCATTCATCGATTATCATCCGCCCTAGGCGCCTCAAGACCGGAGGCCACAGATCCCACAACAAGAGAGAAGAATAAAACAAAAGTTTAAGTGATCTAGTTGAGAGCCTTGCGAGCGAAGTTGGGCAGGACGAAGCTAGCGCGGTGGATGTCCTGGTTGTAGTAGCGGCAGAGGCGCTCCTCCTCCTCGCGGGTCCAGGAGCGGACGGGCTCCTTGACGTTGCGGGTGGCATCCTTGCAGCAGACCATGAAGCCGATCTGGCCGGAGGGGTAGGTGGGGATGGTGGTGTAGGCGTACTCAGCGACGGGGAAGACCTCCTTGCAGGCCTTCTTGAGGTCGGTGATCAGGGACAGGTGGAGCCACTGGTTCTCGGCTGTGGTCGGATATTTTGGTTAGCTTTCAAAGGAGTTTGAAATTGTGGAGTGAATCGAGAGATGATGGAGTATGGAAATGGAGCGGAAGGGGGGAGTGGGGGGGGGGAGGGGGGAGGGGGGAGGGGGCAGACAAAAGAGGTACATGTAATAGGATAGGGGAAGAAAGAGATCAGACAGGAGAATGAGAGAAATAATGAGATATAATGAGAGAGACAAGAGAGCGGAGACAAAAGGGGTAGGGTGAAAGAGGAGACCGGGCATGTGAAAGTGGGCAGATGAGAACAAAGTAAAGGCGACGAACAACCTTGTGTGGTGATGACACCGCCCTCGCGCAGCGCATCGCGGAGGAGCTCGAAGTAAGGCTTCTGGAAGAGGCTCTCGGCGGGGCCCTCGGGATCGGAGCTGTCGGTGATGATGACGTCGAACTCGTTCTGGCGCTGCTTGAGGAACTCGAAGCCATCGCCAACGTGGACCTTGACGTTGGGGTGCTGGAAGCCAATGCTCATGCCGGGAAGGTACTTCTTGGAGACACGGATGACGGCCTAGAACTGCATGAGCTGGAACGTCCCCTTCGCATATTTTCATGGAAAGGTTGTATTGGTTGTCTGTACCTCATCAATGTCGCACAGAATGGCCTCCTCAACGGTCTCGTGCTTGACGACCTCACGGAGGACACCGCCGTCACCACCGCCAATGACGAGGACCTTCTTGGGGTTGGGGTGAGAGTTCATGGCCAGGTGGGTGATCATCTCCTGGTAGCTATGATCGAATTAAGGTCAGTCCTGCAAATAAAACCTGCCTGATAGAAGCGTGGGCTGCAAGGTAACACAGAGACAAAGTATGGAGGCTGGACGTACGAAAACTCATCGCGCTCGGTGCACTGGATAACGTTGTCGAGAACGAGAACAGTGCCGTAGTCGCTGCTCTCGAAGACGAGAACGTCCTGGTACTTGGACTTCTCGTGGTGGAGGATCTGGTTAACCTTGAGGTTCATGGCCTGACCAGGCCACATGTTGGACTGCTCGGAGAACCAGCCATCTGCAGAGCGCAAGAGGTCAGCGACGAGGGGTGTTTCTAGACATTATACATTGTGACAGGAGAATTGTAATTAGGGTAGCATGTGCAGTGTCAAGTCAGCCCGAGCTCGCCTGATCCATTGAAGGGTATCCAAGGACTGGTTTGGGAAAAGTCCCAACATAGGCGAGGTGGGGTAACTGAGCAGTGATGGAGGGGTGTTGGTGGTGGTGCGAAAGAACTTGCCCTTGATAGTGGGGTGAGTGATGTCGCTCATGGTGACGGATTGAGAAGTACGCGAAAAATGCGAACGAGGGAAAACAAAAGGACGAGAAGAAGAAGGTGAGTGAGGGAGAGAAGAGAACCGAAAAAGAAGAGAGGAAGAGGAGGAAGAAGAAGAAGAAGAAGAAGAGGGACGGCAGAAAGACAAGAAGAAAGACGAGCGCATGCGGAGTGGGGGGTTTCCAAATCCAGCGAGGGAAGAAAAAAAATAATGGAGGGGAAGTGCTGTCTGGGCTGGTAACTAGGTGGTAACTTAGAGTATGTCAACTAAAACTTGCTGTGGAAGTTGAGCCCACTAGAACTAAATTTACTAGTACGTAAGATATTGGGCGTAATTGACTGTACCCGTTCGCCGTGTTCCTAGCCTTTTCTTCCCAAATTCTCTCTTGATTGACCCGTTTTGGTCATTTTCTGGGATCAAGCTACAATACATTACATTGATCATCTCTTGTTGAACAGCTTAGTAGTTGTAAATGAGACGTGGATAAGAAAGCAGACATTCCACTGTGACATTGGCCATTGTGTAAGAGATTCCATTCAGTACCCATCACGAACAATGGCCGTGTCAGGCCTGTGCGCTGCTGCTGTTGGGGAAAAGGTAGTAGAACATGCCCTTTAGGCACTTGGGCAGCAGCATCCTCAAGGCCAAAGCGACAAGATACACCCCAATCGATGCATAGCTCAAGAGGTGTGTAAGACATGAGATTATTCGAAGTGCATTATCGTAGAACAGAGAAGGTCAATCAGCGCAGGGCAATGGCCGGACACTACGATTGGTCAAGGTCGCCTGGATCTGGAATCCATCCGACCTATCTAAACGCATCCATTACAGATACAAACCCCCCCTTCTCCACGCTTGAACCACTCGTAGGCAAAGCAACACACGCAACACAATCGATTGCTTCTAGTTACTGTACATCGCAATCACCAAACAAATTCCTGCATTCTTCCTGGGCTACATTTCTTCCCCGTAGTGATCTCCTTGGTATCGCACGTTACATTTACTCCTCACCACCCTCGAGAAGGCGGCCAGGCTTGGAGTTGAGGTACTCGTTGCTAAAAAGAAGTTCACAGTGTCAGCTTCTAGTCATCCGGTCGCTGCACAGGCGCGCATCGAGTAGAAGTTTTCCGTGGACAGGTAGAGGGAATGCATACCGCTCAATAGCCCAGTTCATGAGGGCGTAGGCGGCAATGAAGGGAGGAGCGACGTAGAGGACCTGGTGTCTGAATCTGCGGAAGGTGTTGAAGATAGCGGCGTGACCGGCACCGGCGAGAGGGCGCTGACGGTTGGGAGACATAGAGTAAGAGGTGATACGCTGGGGAGTAGGGCAGCCTGGAATGATTCAAGGTCAGCCACACCATTGTCGGCTGGTCGAGGTGACATCGCTTGTAATCGCCATCTTGAGCAGCACCGGCATCGATTGGGGCCTGATCATCTGCGACTAACGCATGCCATATTCCCAATCCAAGGTCTGGTTGCCGCCCCAGGACGTTGTCTGCATCATCACGCTCGGAGAGAGGGTTCAAGAGACATACCGAGGTCACCCCACGTGCCGAGGAAACTAAAGCGAACACACGTTAGCGATTGTTCCTAAGTATCGATGCATCCCTTTTCGCCGTCTGTTTCATTGGGACAAGCTGGGCTCGAGGATTTCCGTAGACAAGGGCCGCATGATAGCCGTGCTCCGGAAAAGCTAGGGATCGCGGTGAGGGCACCAGCCGCAGAGGGAAGAACTCACACTCCATTCTTAGGATCGAGATGACCACCCATTGTGAAAGTATGCGACGAGTTTCAAGGTAATAGGAAACGCGGAGTGGAAAGAAGATAGGGCGAAGGTAGGGCAGAACAGAAGGGGAAGAAAGTCGAGGTTGGCTTTCGGACCGAAACGGGCGAAGGTCGAAGTCGAGCGAGACCGCCCAGCACTAGTCCCGATCAGGACAACCTGCGAAAAGCCTCCCGCGACATCATCTCCTCACATCCATTATTCAGTGCAGCGGGAATTGATTAACTCGTCGGACCTAATAGCTTCCATCTTGCTACACCCCTCCCTTTTCTCGCTCCCAACAACACAACACCCACCATGTCGAACCGCTTCTTGTTCACATACGGAGCTCCCTTTGTGGGATTCTGGCTCCTTGGAGAATCCCTTTACGATGTCCGTGGCGGAACCCGCGCCGTCATCTTCGACCGGTTGTCCGGTGTGCAGGAGAAGGTCGTAAACGAAGGCACACACTTCCTCATCCCCTGGTTGCAGAAGGCGATCATCTACGATGTCCGCACCAAGCCCCGCCATATCTCGACCACCACCGGAAGTAAAGACTTGCAGATGGTCAGCTTGACCCTGCGAGTCCTGCACCGTCCTGATGTCCCGAAGCTGCCGGTGATCTACCAGGTTCGCAACCATCCCCCCCCCTCCCCAAATCTTGTTGACGCCTTTCTGACCACTGCTCTGTCTTCCTTTGAATAGTCATACGGTACCGACTACGACGAGCGTGTACTGCCCTCTATCGGAAACGAAGTCCTCAAGGCCATCGTGGCCCAGTTCGATGCCGCCGAATTGATCACCCAGCGCGAGGCCGTCTCCAACCGCATCCGCACGGACCTGATGAAGCGGGCGGCCCAGTTCAACATCGCCCTGGAGGATGTCTCCATCACACACATGACCTTCGGCAAGGAATTCACGCGCGCCGTCGAGCAGAAGCAGATCGCGCAGCAGGATGCCGAACGGGCTCGCTTCATCGTCGAGCGCGCCGAGCAGGAGCGCCAGGCCAACGTTATCCGCGCGGAGGGTGAAGCCGAGAGTGCCGATATCATCAGCAAGGCCGTCGCCAAGGCTGGCAGCGGGCTGATCGAGATCCGTCGTATCGAGGCGAGCAAGGAGATCGCCAACACGCTGGCCAGCAACCCCAACGTGACATACCTGCCCGGCAACGACGGCAAGGAAGGTGGCAAGAGCACAAGCCTTCTGCTGGGTTTGAGAAACTAAGAAAGAAGAAGTGGAAATGGATATGTAGTTTTGTTTGTCTGCCTAATTGTTTTTTTCCTTTTGACCCGGATGGATCTCTCGGGCGTGCATGATCTCCCTGGCGAAACTGATGTTGTTTGGTGTCTTCCCCTTCCTCTTCCTGTTTGACATACACCACCTTTCTTACCTCTTGTAGCAATAACATACACATTCTTCTCTCTCCCTCAATCCTCCAGATCCGTGATCATCCAAGCATGCAATCTTACAGTCCTGCGGACCCAGTCTTCACCAAAAGCACACCGTAACATTCCGCATATATTATCCAAGAAACCGTAAACAAGAAAGAAAACCAACAGCCAAGATAGCAAGATATATAACGCAAACACACACAGGAGATTCAATCCGCTAACCGGCGATAGATATGAACCTGAAACCTCATATCCTCCAAGCCCGCCGCATCCCCCACACCATACCGCAGCCGCGCCGCATCGCGCCTCCACCAGCGCGAGTCCTGCGAGAACAGCCGATCCCACTTCCCCGCCGCGACAGAGAGCAGCGCATGATCCAGCAGGAATTTCATCGGATACTGTCGTTCCGACGTGCTGCTACTCGTCGACTCGCCCGAGCCACCGGCGCTGTTCTTCCCGAGTTTTAACGTAGAATAGCTACCGGGGCTATCAACCACAAGCAACACCGCACCCGGCCGCAGCATGTCCGTCAGCCGCAGCAGAAAGCCCGTGGCTTTGGCCATGGAGGTCGAAAATAGCTCGTTCAGCGTGAACATCAGCGTCACCAGGACGGTGCCGCTGGTAGTGTCCGGCTGTACCAGCCTCCGCAGCTCCTCCTCTGAGGCCGAAAGGACATCCAGCTTCTGGAAGCCTACCTGGAAGCTGCTGCTCGTTGTCTGTGCACTGTCGTTCTGCGCGTCCGGGCCGATGCTGAGCCCCGCGTCTCGATACAAAGGAGCCGGATGCGCGTCCGACCCCGCGACGGCGGAAGACCGGATGGTGGAGACCAGTCGGTCGACGATGGGCGACCAGTCCGCGATATCGATGGCTGTGACGGAGAGCCGGTGGCTTTGTTGGTGTTGTTGTTGTCCATCGGGTGACGACGATTCCTCGACCGTGGCAGTAGCCTGAGCCTCCGGTTCATTCGTCTCGCGCAAAGAGAGATCACCCACAGCAGCAGCGAGGGTTCGTGGCCCTTCTTGCTCTCCATCGCCACCACCACTACCACCACCACCAGCTGCCAGCTGCCCCCTCCTACCATCCCCAGAAACATCACTCCAATCCCTCCAAGCAGCCGCAAGGGCAACAATCTCAGCCCCCGCACCGCCACCAATACAAACCACATGACCACTAACCCCCTCCCTCCTCCTCCTCCTCCTCCTCCTCCTCCCCCCTCCTCCGCATCCTCACCTTCGACCGCCGAAGTAGTAGCGTCAGCATCCCGACCCTCACGCTTGAACAGCACCCCCAACAAAGCCCTAAAGATTCCCGCATAGCCCAACGCGCGCGACGAGCTCCAGCGCAGAGCATACGCACGCAGGAGCTCCTCATCGGCGTCCGTAAACGCCGAGTCGAAGTCCCGATTGTACAGATGAGATTTGATGGTCTGGATGAGGCCTTTGATGTCCAGTTGGGGCTGCTGCTGCTGCTGTTGCTGTTGCTCAGCTACTACTGCCTCGGCACCAATACCGCCCGCATTACCCTCGTCACCCTCGCCATCGCGTTTCTCAGTCCGACTGCTGCTGCTTATGCTGCTAGGCACTCGATGCGTGAGTAAGGCCGCTTTGAAGACGTTCAGGAGCAGTTGCTGGAGGGTCAGCGGGATGGTCGCGGAGATATCGATCTGATTTGCGGCGGCCGATTCAGCATGATTCTGCGGCCGGTGCTGCTGCTTGCCCCGAGTAGTGGTACCCCTCGAAGACTTTTTGGGTTCGTTTTTGCTGTTGCCGCGACTCTGGGAGGAGGCTTTTGCGGACTTTTTGGAGGGGCCCATGTCTCGTGATAGTCGAGATCAATTTTTATTATATATATATATATATATGTATACTACATATAATATCGATAGCTTCCCTCCGATGCCAAGAGAGCGGCGGCTACAGAGTTGAGTTTTTTCTGGTGTTCGGCGTGTGGGGCTCCCGGGTTCTGAGTACATCACAACTACAGATATATCTTCGACAAACCTCAAGCGTGAACCTTATGATCGATACCGGCGCATATCTCCTCCAGTTGCTTCACACATCGACGAAATACGAGCTTGCAAATCCAAATGACGTTTTACACCGCGATGAAGGCTTAAAGGCTCCACCAAACCTAGTGCTCAGAATGTACATTCATTGCAGCCGTAAGCGGCTGTTTCAGTATCCATATAAAGACTTCATGCTAGATTCGTCAGAAAGAGCCTCCAGTCCATGAAAACCGACAGCAACCACCAACTTCGACCAGCCAAGAAAAAAAAATCAAAGTACCCTCTCCCAAGGATGCCCGATAAGAACAAAAAGAACATCAGATGTCCCATGGAGGGATATGACGATGAACAAGCCCCCCCTTCCGAAAATTGGGGGTCAGGATGAGATGGAGTGAGAAGGGAGGAGGAGCTAAGAGAAGGTATGGGAAAAAAAAGTTGGTGGCTTGGGGAAAAGGCAAGCCATGTTGATTGAAATGGCTCACAACCTGCAACAAGCCCGGAACGAGGGACATGAAATCTCGAAAAGAGGAAAAGGATAGAGCTTCATACTCTGACGCTTGCGATCACATGCCAATGGAAAGAAATTCGTCAGTTACCCTCACCACAGTAAAGGGGAATTCGATCAAGAAAATAAATGCGAAGAAGAGAAAAATGTGTGAAGAGATAAGAGATCTTGCAAAGATCACTGAGAAGCGAATCATGATCAGGTTGAATATGTACATGTGTCAATATTTGTCTCGAAAAAAGGGTGGTTTCATAATTGTGGCTCTTGTCGAACCCCGTGTTCATGCGGCCTGTCTTTGTCTTTGCTCCTCCAGAAGTGCATCAAACGACTGATCCGGTGAGATTTCCTCTTGGACTTCTCAGGCTCATCTTCAGGTGGCTTCTCTTCATGGCTGAGTTTGCTTTTCTCTCCCTGAGAGCCAACAACGAGTTTAGAGAGGCTGGCAAGACTAGACCTCTTATAGCTGTTGGCACGGCTGGTGCGGCGGCGCACAGCCTCAGAGAATGATGCAGAACGATCGGAGGACAGCCGAGGACGTCCGAAGAATGTGCCAGAGAATCTGTGGGGTGTATTCGTCGTCGTGGATGCACTGCTTGTGAGCGAAGGAACATCCTCAACTGACGTCTGTGGAAGATCCATGGACGGATTGTATGAAGGATTCGAGAAATTATGGTCACTTGTGGATGGTGTAGTTATCGACCGGGGGGCATCCGATGAGCAGCCGGTGAAGTCGGGAGACGGAAAAGAGGAATTCGAGACAAGTGTGCTCCCCTGGAGAGACAGTGGAGGGATGTTATATGTCAGCTCCATTGGGGAGGTGGTAGGTCGAGTGTCAGCAGCCATGAATCGTGGAGAGACGTCGGGACTTGTAGGAACAGGCATGCGGAGCTGCCATGCTTCTTGCTCGGCGACATCGACCGAATCGCTCGGCGAATTAGAAAAGGGGTTGCCCGCATTCTGCAATTGATGGATAGGATTTGATGCAGTACGAGATCTGAGATCCTCTTGAATGGAGGAAGTAGCATCGGCATGCGACATAATATGAGTTTCAGTTTCCTGAATCCCAAGACCAGTATGAGGTTGAGCACGGACCTCGTCAACCACAGGGTGGGCAGTAAGTGTTTCAGAGCTGCTTTTGCTTTCCTCGGATCTACTCTCAGCATCATCACGCGAAGTTGAGATGATGACCTGCGAGAGCGGGCGCTCAATATTATCAGCTGGAGACTCGCTCGTAGCAGCCAAGAAAGCATCCTCTTCTTCTTCATAAAGCACATCTGGATTCTCCAATGTCGAAGTATTCACGAATCGGTTGTTTCCCAGAAAACTGCGGTCAAAGGGTGGCATTTCAGGTGCACTCTCCGCACGGCGATGATAACGCATCTCTGGACCGACGAACTCACCTCGCCTACCACCACTATACATGCGCTTGGTAGCTGCCGAGAAACCACTTTCTGCAACACGACCAGAGTGCATGTCAGGCGTATTGAATGGCCCCAGAGCTGCATCCAAGTCGATGACAGGACTGAGAGCATCATTTTGGGTTGTCTGTTCGTAGAAGCTCCTTGGCTTCCACGAATGCTCCAGAGATGGTACATTTGAATCATGAGACGTGGGACGACGAGCGTCTGGTGTAGCAGGATTAGTAGGCGTGCGGATAACAACAATGGTATCATCATCGAAGTCCACGTCTAGTCCCGATCCAAGGTCGGAGTTGGTTCTCGTAATCACAGGGGCGGGGACAGAAGGCTGAGTGTTCTCACTCATGTCCTTCTTCGCATGTCGCTTGGCCTTGCCTCTGGTTAAGATGGCACCGGCCCATGAGCGCACCTTCTTCTGCCGCTTTTTCGCCTTCGAGATCCTCTTATGTGTATCGAAAGAATCTGAAGACTCGCGGGCATCACGATCAGAGGTACCCGAAGTGCTTCCCGTGTTGCTGGACGAGGATGAACGTCTGGACGAGCCCGCAAAATGATCTAGAATTCCCGAAGAAAAGCTTTTGCGGTTCCGAGAATGGCCCGCTGCAGATAGCGGTCGCTTCAAAGATGAGGCATCCCCAATGCCTGAGTCCATGTGCTGATCTAGCATTAAAGAAGCATCGGCAGTCCTGGGCCTAGGCTTGGGCTTCTCGTTTGAGAAAAGCTTGGGCTCAACTGCAGAGCTCATCCCGACAACGCCACTGTTTCTAGTGGAGCAGTCGGGATCCGATGCGCTCGTCGGTGCAAGAAATTTAGGCGACTGTTCAGGCGAGGAATAACAAGGTGAAGGGATGGTAGTCTCATCGCTTGATTTAACGGGAGTCGGGGGTTCTGTCTCAACAACGATTCGAGGGGACGCAGGTGGCGAATTTTGAGACAGTATGGCAGCCGATTGTGATGCAGGTCGCGTGGGCTCGTCGAAAGCATGGTGCTCTCGCATCGGATCTGCCGGCATACAGGGAGCACTTTCGACAGTGGGCTTCAGGTCCAGTGCATTCGAGATTGCAGTCAGGTCCACGCTAGAGATAGCAGCTGAGCGTCGGTGGGCATGACGCCGCTTTCCTTGGCTGCCTGCACCGAAGCCGGGACCTGGAGCAGGAAGTTTGGCAGGTGTCGAGCCTGAACTCTCATCGTTGCCTTGGATGGCCTCTACGGGTCCAGGGATGGCTAAACGATCCCCACCCACAAATTCGCTGCATCGTCGCCGATGACCACCTGGTCTATTCATAGGGAGATTCGGCATTGACGGCTGTGCAGAGTGGTTAGACCCTGGATTGAACGAGAAAGCCGGAAGGGGCGGGGGAGTCCTGCGCCTAGTCGCTGGAGCTTCCGACGCCGTATCGCCAGGGTCTCGTGCCGGGAAGACAAAGGGTGGGTTTGGGAGCGGAGTTGACATGGTCAAGTTGCGGCGGCTGTGACCGACAGGTGACCGATCGATGGGTCGAAGAAATTCGGAGAATGCTGGAGTGATTGGGTGCTGCGGGGGCAGAGATATCGAAGCCATGATGACCTGCTGATACTATGTAATAACTAAATATTGCAGATATTATTCGACCAGCCCCGTGGTTTGCAAATGAGTACAGTTGATGTAGCCCAAGCACACAGGGACCTCCAGACCGATGCGACTTCCCTAGTACGCTTTGGAAAGCCTGACTTTGGCTGGAGGTCTTTATTTGCACATCGAGACCATCGAATACCCCAGTGAGCCACAGATCCAACAAACTTGATATTAATAAATGAGGTGGTAGTAAGTGAACCTCGTAATGGTGAAACGGTCGAAGGCCGAGGGTTGAAGGTAGCGAAATGAACCGAACGGCGGCTAGACAGAAGCCTTCTCAACTAATCCGAGTTGAATCAAGATCTGGCAGACTCTGGTGAGGAAGAAATCCGCAGCAAAAAGTCGTAATTGGCTCGAGTTGGAGAAGCGTGCAGGCGACGAAGGGAATTGTTGTTATCGTAAGGAGCGGACGGCCACGGGAACGGGCCACGGACGAGGAGGATGAGCGGGAAGACTCGGCGGAGAGGGAGGGATAAACGAAGGAAGATAGTGAATATAGATGGGGAGCGGAAACGCAACGGGGGTGAAGAAAGCGAAGGAGGGAAGAGAGGAGGAAGTCGGAAAGAGAGTGAGAGAGGGAGGGGGAGGAGGACGAGGAAAAGAGGGAGGATCAACCTAGGAAAAGAGGGAAAATGAAGTCGAAGGAAGGAGAGGAAAGGCTGAAGTGCAGCCAAAGGCTTGGTGGTGGAGAGAGAGGAGGAGACGGCGACGTATGGAGGAGGGCGGCAGGGGTTGATTGGCTGCTGGTCACCCGGAGGGGCCGCACCCGTACCTAGTACCGAACTGATACATCGTATTTACCAGGGCCGTCCGATCGCCCGCCCTCCAGTCAGCAACTTAGCGCATAGAGGGATGGCGAACGAACCACCTGCACCTCCCGGTAAAGAACGGAGCCCGTATGCTTGAATGGTATCGGTCTTTACTCATTGTAACCTAGCCTCAACTAGCCTCAAAGCAAAGACTGACACCGGTCAGTGCCTGTACTGTACCTTACTAACTTACTAGTGAGTACTGCTAAATTAAGTTGATGGCCTAGTAATACCAATGTCTTGTCGAGAATTCACCAATTCGAGCCAGCGATGATATGGGGAAATTGCACGCCTCTCCCACTGCGGAGTTGGCGGATGGATGCGTTCTCCATCTAGCTTGTAGATGAATTTACCAAGATCCACCACCACCACCACCACTACGTACTAGCCTGCAGGCTCCCTTATTCTCCTCTTCTCTGCTTGGGGCATGCTCACGGTATCCCTCTCAATCGGTCCCTTCTAGATCTTACGAATACGGAGCTGGCCGGAAGGACTCTTACTCCAGCACCGTTGCTAGCAAGCCTAGATCGATAAGTCGCTGGAAATCACCCGTATCGGGCCAAATGAACGACGTCACGACCATCGACGGCAATCCGAGTACGATGCGTAATCCTTGGTTGAAACAAAAGCCTGATCCCTCCATGTGTACAGTAAGCCGGCGAACACCAAGAAGGAGGCAAGACAAGTCCCCACAACAACCGACAGGTTGAGAATCAGGGTTCTGGCATGAGCATAATTAATCTAAGTACTCATATTACATAGTATGAACAGTTGGGAGCAGTGGTCAATCAGAGAAGACTATGCTCATAATTGCGAAACGGTTGATATCCGACCCTCCTGCGGAGTGAATGGGTGGTCCGGTCGGAAGTCATGTACTTGGGGTATGACTATTGTTTCAATGCAATTGATTACTTTTTTTATTGTTGATAGTGGTTGTTGATCAATCCCTAATAATAATGTCCCTACTGTACGGAGTACCGGGCGAAAAGAACTGGAAAACCCCCCCCCTCCAGGCATCAACGGATTCACTAACCCGTCCGTACCTGAGCCGGACCTCCAATCAGCAGCGGTAGACAGGGGATGAAATCTCGCTTGTCTCGGTGGAGGAAGGCCGAACGCCACCCACTAGACGCCTGCCGCTAACTAAATCCGGTGTTAGTTTAATTAGCGCTCTGGATCTCCCCTTGAATGAGAAGAGCGAGCGAGAGAGTCCTTGTCCGCAACGCCGATTATTATTGCCAACAGGTGATCCTTGCCAAAAGGTTGACACGTCCAGGGGAAGAGGGGGCCGGAGGGATGAAACATCTCACCTGGAAAAGAGACAAAAAATCCGGGACATCCCCGGAATCCGTACAGTTCCTCAACAGACATCCAAGAATAGTTCTTCTGCGCTATCACCGTCGTTCTTCCATTCTTAGGGGGGGAGGAGGGAGAGATCTGCTTTGATGTTGTGTGAGGTCTTCCGAGCCAGCCCGCGGGCTTCAGGTTCTCACGGCGCCAACCTACCCTTGTCTTGTTACTGACGAAACTGGGCTTGCGCAATCGTTCCTGAGCACCGCACGGTAGTAGTCTAGTCAGGACTAAAGAGAAACAGAACCCCTGGTCACTGCCAATAAGCTTCCTCCACCCCTGCGGTCTTATCGTGTACTCTTACCCAGTTATCACCTACTGCGCGCTAGGTCTCGCCAGGGATGTAAGGCACACGTCATGCTTATTATTGGCTACTGAGCTTGCTATTCCTCTTACAGGACTGGGCACGGATTATCAAGGTTTCTGAACTGTTAATATGTGGCCCAGGAATCATAATGTCATGTTTTGGCGCCTTATATGCTAGACATATCATTCAAGGTTATCACTTATTCTTAGCCATTTCGGCCGATCATAGTTTGCGTCGAGGGGCTACCGCCTGAGATCTAAGAAGCGGTTCGATGCATACTGTGTACTGTAGTCGACAGAGACTCAGTACACCAAGACAGGATAAAAGGATTAGAGACCATCAGCTATGCATCATGGTCTTTCAGCTCGATCGAAGTTCTGCTTCAGCGATTGCGATCCATTGCTACGGCCTGACACAATAGACTTTTGTAGGAAGGTTATAGTCTTTTGAACCGGGGGGCGGTTCTCTCTTTTAAGTGGACGGGGTATTCCCCATGGCGTAGAGAGATCACCAATGATTCTTGTGGACAACAGCAACTGAATCATGGAGAATCACTCCCGTTGTTCTACTATGGACATCGTAATCAAGACTTCAATCTGGTCTCTTTCTGCCAGGCAGTTGGCAAGGCAATTGCCTCTCTTATCGCACCTTACGACGATCTGCAGGAGCCTGACCTGGCCTATTCATTGGTTCAAGAAACACCGCTGATAGTCCCGAATCGTCGTTCTGCAGACGGCCTTATCCGTAGGAAGACAAGGGAGCGTACTCCGTACTAGTCTGAGTGTAAGAAATACTGTGTATAGTGGTGAATGAGCCATAACGTAACCCACGGACAGACCGATGCTTGTACTCCGTATTCCGTCCTAACTCTGTAGTGGAAGATCAAAGACCCTGGGCAAAGGATGACCCGCGTGTCCCATGGAATCGACACGGAATGACCCATCAGTGGAATATTCACCTTGCAAAAGGGACAGTTCACTCTACATTGACCACCTACGGAGTACAGTAGATTCAATACTGCAAAATCAGAGGCCCAGACCTATCCATACCAAGTCACGAGGTCGAAATGGTAAGATACAGGTATGGCCACGAGACAAACGATTTCGACTCAAGTCTTCTCTCGTATTCCGAATTCTGAGACATTACGATCGGGATCAAGAACTCATTTGCCAGGTTCCTCCAGGCGCCTTACCGACAGTTCCGGTTGTATGTCTGTGTGTGTCTGCCAGGCACAAAGAAGGGGGTGGAAGACATCCATCATCATAAACACAAACTTCAGAGGCCTCTCTGCTGGAACGCAAGGCACTAAAGAGGGAATTCCTTTCCATTGTCTCGCAATAAAAAAGTTTCGTCAACACTAACTTCCGTAGAATATCCATCTCTCAACCTCTTGCATCCACTCCACCTGTCTCTCTACATTACGGTCCACAACGGAATGCGGAGGGCAAAAACCTTAGAATAAGTTTTTGTTAAGTTTTTGTCTTTTCTCAGGTTCTTTGTGCCGAGGTCTCCGGGTTTTCTTCTCTTTCGACTCTTTGACTTTGGGGAAATCGACGCCGATCGATCCCATGGTTTCGAGGCGTAATCATTGGTGCTTTCTTGGGGGTTGTTTCCAGAAGTTCATTTCCATTCCATGGGTTCAGCCACACTGGAAATCCGATCGGTCCACTTTTTTTTCTTCGCATGGATCACCCGCAGCAGCGAAGAACCTATTCAAACTGTACGGACTATGCCGTACTTAGGTATTCCTGTGGGAGTGTGCTCTGAACATTGATTGAAGAATTTAGGAAATGCGAATGGGAGGTAGGTGTTGTAAAGCATAGCTATGGGTCATGTCATTTGCGACACAAATGGTTCTCGGAGATTTTTTTTTTCTCCTAGGTCACGTCAGGATCATCAGAGGCGTTTTACCAAGGGCCTGGTCTTGTCAAATGAACCGAAGTTGGGCCTATAGTAAATGAGTAAGGCGAGACTCCCTGTGTCAGGATGCCTGGTGCCAACGTCGCTCATCGACGATGTTCTGTTACAAGGGCTTCTTCTGCTTTATTTCAAAGACGCCCGGAAAGAGTCCCAAATTGCCATTTGTGTAGAATGATGTGCCTTGACGGCCTAGGATGAACTTTCCTTACGTGGCTCTGGACATAAACATAGAGATGGTGGTTCATACTGTTAGAGAAGGTCTTGTCTGGAATGGTCAGGGGTGACAAACAATTCGAACATTACTCCATTTGAGGCATGGCCCTCCGTGGCATTTCACTTACCGGGATACACCAATTGACAGACGGCTGCGCATGTGAAACTACCTTCTGACCTTGGGTTACTGGGCTTTTGTGGTTTCAGCCGACAGTGGTGTTACATATGATGGTTAAAGGTAGTTTCAGAAGACTCCAAACCGCGCAGGGCGTATGAAAATCATTAAAGTTCAATGGAGACTTCACTGACTCGCTTCTGCTAGATCTCAGGCAGATGGGGCGGATCAGTTTCAGATCTCAGTTGTATCATGTGCACATCATGAATGGCTTGCTCGCATATACATCATTGAAGATAGATTGCAGTGAAGAACCAGAGCTGTGAAGCAGCATTCACTAGACCAACCACTCTCCCAGTAGCCTTTGAATAAGGCATGGTATTGTCCCGCGGTAACTCCTATACAAAGACAACAAGCTCAGCCCAGCATGCCATCCACATGACTTGAAATTTTGTACTCACTAATGAGATGACAAAAAAACATACGTGAAGAAACACGCTCAACGCTCAAATGCCAAAATCAAAATTCGTTCTCTTGCTATGCTTCGACAGCGCCAGGAGAGATCGCAAGAATGACTACCAGAGTAGCTACTATTAACGCAGCAGCGACGATGGCGATCAGCCCAACGCTGCCACGACTGGCGGGGAACTTGCCCCGGATGATCCAGTACTGGCTCTCAAAATAGCGGTGAAAGCCAACCAGGAGGATGAGAATGGCAACGCCGATAAATGTGGTTCCTAGCGGCTTCCCGATGCTGCGGAGCCGCTGAGCGGCGGATGATATAGCGACACTGGCGGGATCGATATTAAGACTTTGGGACGACGGATCCACCCCAGTCACGTTCCCCGTGTTGTTCAAACGGAACAGCTGGGTTACAGCTATTCCAATGGATGCAAACGCCAGCGAAGTTCTCAGCCAGGCAAGGAATGTACGCTCTACAACCATGTCAGACTGCTAATGTCGCGAATTTTGGAAGCTGAAACGAGACGGGAACTAGACACAAACGCACCCAAAGCAAGATGATCTCGGGCAACACTGCCCTTATTTTCTAGCTCTAAGCTGCCGTACTTCTCGGCCACTCGCCGGTACCAGGAGGCGTGCGGCTCCTCCGCATCTGACTGGGGGGCCTGTTGATCGGTTGGTCTTGCATCTCGCCGTTCCTGGATCCCGGCATGGCTATTCACGGACCCCGTTTCGCGGTTCCTGAGTCCATCCGTGGATCGATAATTTCGCCGGGATGAATCGCTGTTCGACACGATGGGCGTGCATTCATTGAATGGGTAGGATTGGCCGCCGTGACTAGGTGTCGCAGCCGGCCCTTGCTCTGCGCTCGGAGAAGACATGCGGTGTGGCTCTCCTCGAGACGAACGAGGGGATGAAGGACTGTGTGAGAGAGGAGAGTCACCAGGCTTTTGGGTGCTTTGTGTGGTCAAATCGGAGGATTCCATGATGGCGTGCTCACGGAGGCGCAGGGTTCATATAGCCTAGGGCAAGCTGTAATTAAGCAGACGCGGAAGAGTGGATAAGTAGTAGGGTCAGAAGTCCCCCAGCTTTTGAATGTTCTCAACGGCTGTGATGGCGGTTAAAGAACCTGTATATGAGGTTGTAGACACGAGAAATTCGGTCCTTGAGTTGAGTATCTCTAGCTAAAGATTCAAACAACTCGTTCCTTCACCCCCTCACCCAGCATCGCGCGTTGTTGGTGAAGTTACAACTTTTGTCGCTCTCTTAAGCAGCGCTACTAGTGACTACCGTACCACGCGCCCCAAGCCTGAAGTGGAATAGCTGGCTCTTGCCTCCAAGGGACCGAATGGCCTTTGTCGATCACATGGTGATCCTCTCCGAAAGCACTAATCTTCCTTTGGGTATAGCGTCATCGGCCCAGCCTCTGTCAAACGATCAGAAAAGGCGGTATGATTCTGCCACGTGACCGGACTCATCCACATAGCCATCGTTGGCGGGCGGTGGCAGATGACCGTCACCTTCGAAAGTGCACCATTCATTAGTATCGTCGTTCTTCTTGGCCTTTCTTTACCTGCCATCTCACTATGGCCTCAGAGGTCTCCGTGCCGAATCTGGCGCCTAAGCCCAAGATTGATTTATCCAAGAAGCTTTCAGAGCTTCGCGCGAGCAAGAGCAAGTCGAGCACAGCACCCTCCAAAGAGCCCGCGCCAGTCACCCCGCCTCTACCTAACCCTCCCGACCTCACCTCCCACCAATATACCCGGCCGGTCCGTCGAATCCTATCACGAAATGATCACGAACTCTTCCTCTCTTCCCCCACATACAAACTGGTTCTCGGCTTCATCTTTGGGCTCTCTGATTCCGTACGAGGACGGGCGACAACCGAAGCTGGCAAGCCTTCTCCCACCATCACCAAAGTACAGTCCGTGGTCGAGCAAATACGCTCACTTCTTGAACGCCACCCTTCCCTCGACCAGAACGGCTCGCGCTTTGGTAACCCAGCATTCCGCGATCTGTTCGACGATGTCGCAAGACAGAGCGAGGCATGGCATCGAGACATATTCGGGTTCGAGGACCTGGCCCTTCTCGAAGAGGCATCTACCTACCTGATAAACTCGTTAGGGTCGCGGGATCGACTCGATTACGGCTCAGGTCATGAGCTGAACTTCATGATGTGGCTACTATGTCTCCGCCAGGTGAACCTGTTTTCGAAATCCGACTTCCCTGCGATCGTCTTCCACGTGTACGTGAGTTACATGCGGTTGATGCGCGACATTCAAACCACATACTATCTCGAACCCGCCGGGTCCCACGGTGTCTGGGGTCTGGATGACTACCACTTCCTGCCGTTCCTGTTCGGCGCCTCGCAGCTCGTGGCCCATCCCTACATCACCCCGCTGTCGATCCACAACATGGCGGTGCTCGAGGAAGAAAGCGACAATTTCATCTACCTGGATCAGGTGCGGTGGGTCGACAGCGTGAAGACTGTGAAAGGGCTGCGCTGGCACAGCCCCATGCTGGATGACATCTCGGGGGCCAAAAACTGGAGCAAGATTGAAGGCGGCATGAAGAAGATGTTTGTCAAGGAAGTTCTGGGCAAGTTGCCCATCATGCAACACTTCCTTTTCGGTAGCCTTCTGCCCGCCGCGCCTGGGATGACGGAGGTCACCGATGACATGGAGAGCGAGGAGCACGACCACGAGCACGACCACGGCCCTGGCCATGATCACACCAATCACCTGGATTGGTTCGGCGATTGCTGTGGCATCAAGGTCCCCAGCACGGTTGCTGCGGGAGCCGAGATGCGGAAACGAGGGGGAGGATCAGGGCTACGCCCGATTCCGTTCGATTGAAATCCATGTCTCATGCCACAGAGCACGAACCATGGCCTTCGAGGGACAACTAGAAGATAACATTACGATATCATTAGCATGAAACGTCAAAAAGCATAGAACATAGTCTGCCAATAATGAACATCGCGCCACTGGTGGCATTTAACCCTCTCGCTTTTCGAGTTATAAGACTGTATATATCAGTAGCTCCAGGCCACTATACCCACTGAATAGCTAGTAAGATTGAACCATAGGCCATAGTCTCAATTACCAAGTTCCTGGATTACTTCTTTGCGCATGATCACCTGACTTGACTCTAAAGCGGCAAGGCAAAACCACCCCAGCTAATCACCTTGATTATCTACCAAGTTCAACCTCAACCATATCATCGGTAAAATTTTCAAACAACCCAACCCGGATCATGTTTCAAAGTTAAACACACTTCCCCCTGGAAAAAGACAGTCTCAACCACCCCTGTGTCCAAGACAAGCCCCATGCCGGCCGACGAGTATTCGACGCCCGGCGGAGGCGGTAAGCTCAAGCTGAAGGGCTCCAAGATCGCCGATGGCCGAGTAGAGAAGAAGAAAAAGAAGAAGAAGCAAAAGGAAAACGAGACCAAGAAGGTTTCTCCCGAAGCGGACGCAGAGCAGCAGCAGCATCCAGACGAAAATGAAACCACCACCACCACCACCCCAAGAGATACGTCTCGTGCCCCCGATGAGGCTGATCATCCCGAGGAATCATCACCGGACGTTGGCTCGGCTGGCAAGACCGAGGCGGAGAGAAGGCATGAGGAGATGAGGAAGAGGAGGGTAAGTTTTCATTATACCATTGATCAGCCATTATTGTATTTCACCAACCTTTACCCCATTTGATTCACCCCCCTCCCCCCGCCGCCATTCTCCTATATCCCAATTGTAGCTGCCTCGAACCATAAACCCGCAAAATCGCAATCGCAAGTCGCAAGCCATCCCCATACGCCAGGGCAACCACAACAACTAAATAAACCCCATGGACAAACAACTAACTCCACCTCCCACAGCTGCAAGAACGCCTAAAACGGGAAGGGGTCAAAACTCACAAGGAGCGCGTGGAGGAGCTCAACAAATACCTCAGTCGATTGAGTGAACACCACGATATGTACGTGATCGCTCTCCCTCCCCCCTCCCCCTGCCCTCTTCGCCTTCAAATCCTTGCTCTACTCTCTCTACTAACTATGACTTTTGCGCTATACAGGCCCAAGATTGGACCCGGTTGAATGGCTGCTGCAAAATCGGTGGGATTGGGTGGTGTTATGTATTATGTTGTTTATGTTTTTGTTTGTGTCTAACAACAGCAACACTGGCTGTACTACTTACAAACTTTCTTGTGGTTTTTTTTTGTGCCTCTCTTTTAGATGGTTGGGATTTGGATTTCCAAGGCACCTCACCTACCAAGGCAACTTTTCAACTCCAATGAGGGGGTTCGAAGCTTGAACAGAGCACCAAGCACCAAAGTTGCTGTCATATGACGAGTGCTACGTTGTGCACGCTCACTGGCTGGAGCGGACGAGGTAGTAGGTACCTGACGGAGCTACCGTACTGAGCTGGCACAAGACCAAACTACCACGTCCATGCTCCAACGCCGATCACTTGCCTACCTCATTCAATCTTGCTTGATGGGTGATATATAGAGAATGCCTACGGGGTATGTGATGACGCTGTCTGTCACTGCAATGAAGAGAGTCACGTTTGCTGGGAAATATCAATTCTATCCAAGCTGATAAACAGAAAAAGATCAAGCTGTCTAGCGACGCATTCAACCACCCTCTGAAGGCCTATTGGCGGGCACAGCTGCCACATCCTGCGATGAGCATTGATTCAAAGAAAGAAAGTAATCATTCACAACTCCAGAGGTAGTCTCAACGCCAAGCGTACAATATCACAGATAAAAGACAAAAATTTGAACAAAACTCCCCCAAAAGCCTTGCTTATAAACCGCCAGGGTGCGAAACTGTCCATGCAGTAACTGCGGAGAGGCCCCCCAACCAATGTGATGATTAGAGAAAAAAAAACTCCACCTTGCAAGAAATAGTATGGGCTGAAGAGAGACGAAAGAACACCGTGCTAATCGATATATGACGATGCAGCGGAATGAAGAGGAATGTTGATTAAATGAGGTAATTGGGCGTGCCGGGCGTAACCTCATACGCCCTTGATGACGTGGGTGCGCTCGCTGTTCAGCTTATCGGCATTGCGGGCATGCGACTCCTTCTTGCAGTCCTCCAGGCCGGTACAGGAGTGAGCTTCCAGCATGCGGTGCTTGGAGCAGTAGTGGCCATTGCAGAAGCTGCAGTCTCCGACAATGCGTTGAGCGGCTTCCTTGCACTCCTTGAAGTTGCAGCGAGGCTTGCGGGGCGCCATGATGAAATTAAGGGTGGCGAGAACGAGGCGGAGTCAAGAGGAGTCACCGGAGTAGTAACAGCCGATAAGCGCTTGCGTATGCGGCGTGCAAATTGGCGCTGGTTGTGGGGAAAGGAGCGCTGGGTGTCAACCGTGGGCGTGATGCGGTGGTTCGAAGGAACCCTGATGCAAGCTGAAGCCTCAAGATCAAGAGAAGTACTGCCTCCTTTAGAAGAAGGAGAGGGTGACGTGGAGATGGTTGGTCGGTGGAGAGAGCTGTTAGGAGAGTCCCGGGGCGTGGTAGATAAGGAGTAGTAGATAAGAAGGGCGGTCTATATATGATCACCGGAGCAGACAGATGTGGCTGGACTGAAAGCAAGACCGTTGTAGGGACGGGAGCAGCAAGGGTAGGTGGAGGAAGAGGATGGAAGGAGGGGAGGCAGGTGAGGTAGGTGAGGCAGAGTCAGGTTGAGTGGTGTGAGAAAGAGGAAGAGGACAAAGAGGCAGCGAAAGAGGTTTATAAATGAATTAGTAGGTGGCAGCGGCGAAACTGCAGCGCAAAGTCAATTTATAAATCGGGTAGGGGAACGGGTGTGATTGCGAAATCGGGGTTGGGGAGGGAGAGAGAAGTGGTCAGAGGGGGTTATGTTAAATCGGAAGGTATGAATGACCTGCTGAGTCACTCAATATTATTAGTTAACTACTAACCAACTAAGTAACTGAATTAACTCAATAATGGAGGTGCAATGCGCTGATCCAGCCTGAGGGAGAAAGAGGAGAAGGAGGAGAAGGAGGAGGCAGAGATGAGGAGTAGGCGTGGGTAGTTAGGCATAGGCATAGGCATAGGCGTGACATCCACTAAGTGACTTTACTATCTTTACCTTAAAGCATTCAATGTTATTTCCCTTTTAGTTGTTAATAGGATTTCACTAAGTATCGATCGGGACGGGGATTCGTCGCCCTTTCCTTAATTTTAGGCGCATCCGATTAGTCTAGATACTGACTACTGACTACTGACTACTGACATTACTTGACTACTCATACACTACTAAACTGACCGACTTCTTGACAGACCAGACAGACAGACTGAAACTGAGATTCAAGACTCTCTCCTCTTTGAGTCTTCTCCTTCATGTCAGGGCTGGCTCCGACTGGAAGGGACGACGAGGCCGGGTGGAGGCAAATCAGGTAAGTGGAGCCAGAAGCTTCTGGGTTCTTTAGGATTCCGGGCCTTCTGCCCTTCTTTCTTTCTCTCCGTCTCTCCGTCTCCCCGTCTCCATGTCAGATTACTACTGCATCGGGGCGAGGCAAATGTTCCCAACCGTCTTGCCTTTGCCGGATGCGCACGAGGCTTTCTTTGGTGCCGTTTTTCTCACTCACCTTTTTTTTCCCCCTTATCTCGTTTTATTTCGTTTTATTTTACATTTCTCTTTCTTCAGACCGACCGACCGGGCGGCAAACGAAACAGTGACGAAGAATGGAGAAAAGAAAGGTCTAACTTAAGGTCGACAGACGACAAAAAATGTGTGTCATACACGACATCTGGGCGGGCATGCCTTTTTACACCTCATCCGTTCATACGTGTCCACGCTAGGGTGTAGACAAGGTATGAAGTATAACTTGTACCCCAATTTCTCACACCACCACTCAAGTTAAATTACTGCCCATCCATAGGATCCTTAATTTGCCGACCACAATCCTGAGGACTATATGTAGTTTGCTCTCAAGCATAGCATGGCATGGCATGGCATGGCATATATCATGTCGCCATCCATGGCGCAATCGGCTGCACATAGTCACGATAAAGTTAGTATGCCGAGTTCATGGTAAGTCAATCGAATCGGCTAGCTCCTACTCTGTAGCTCCAGCCGAGTCCTAGGTATCTAAAGTACGTACAGTACAGTACATAGGCCCCATTGAGAAAGCAACTGGTCAACAGCCGCATATAACCCTGGTCGCAACAGCCAGGTACCTTCACATCACAACTCGTTCTGAGCCCATGAATATGACCAGGGGCTGAGGCGAGGGAGAGGGGGCCGCTGTTCCCCCGGGCTTGTGGCCGAAGTCTGTGCACGCCAGAGGTGTAGCTGCTTCCGAAGTAGCACCACAGCGCCAACAACTCCTTTTCTACTCCCAACCCTTGAACATTTAATCTTGCGCTGATCTACACACCTCGCTTATGGTTAGTTACTTGTACAGTGGCCGATCAGCCAACCCAGTCACGTGAGAGAGACGACTTGCCGTACAGACTGCCAACCTGCTCGATATTCTTGGGTTCATAACTTCAGAACCAGGCACATCCGCAGTGTGCTGGTATGTGTGAATGGTAATCCACATCAAGATCTTTATGTTGGCTCTGACGACGAGAGAAAATGGAACAACATATTGTTGAATTTCTGGGATTGGCGGGCAATGCGCAAGGCAAAGGCAAAGCCGAAGCCAAAGCCAGTGTTGCTCCCATGCATGCACCCTTCCTGTTGCAGCTCATCCGGTAGTGCTACCTTACTTGCTGCCTGGCACCCATGAGACACAACGTCCATGCAGCGACATACTGGATCCATGTACCCCAAAGTCAAGGGTGCACAGCAATGATGAAGTACATGTACCAACCCTTTCCTCTCCTCCTCCTCTGTTGTCCCTTCTCAATAGGTGCTACGCTTCCATAGCGAGCCTGACCTGGACCAACCGATACCCTGAGGACTCTGGTGCATTGAATCATTCACACCACCATTAATTGCTTACTGTCAGACAATGGTCTTCCTATAGGGGGCGTTTGCATGATAGCGAGTACCCAATATCCTTCCCCCCCCCCCCCCCCCCTGCCCTGTTTCTTCTCTTCACTTTTTGTCCAGGGCGGAGAAAGGATGATTAAGCTATGTTGGGACGATCAAGACCGCCTGCAGTGCACTGCACTTTTACCCCATATTTTCCTTCCCCAACCATCCAACTCTTAGCTTTCCCCTCCCACACCCACACCCATACCCGCACCTCTTGGGCAGGAATCTCCTCTTAAGCCTGCTTTGCATCTCTTGATGGCCGGGAGTAGACGGTAGACCATTCCGTCCGCACGACCACCAACTTACTCTCCCGCCAACAGCAAATGTGCGTGCGATGTTGAATCCACGAAGTTCCCTTCCCTTGGATACACGTCAATGCACAGTCTGTCAGAACCACCTTGACCAAGATTATACTCTGCTCGACAATTGGGCATACAATTTGCAAATCGCCCCCTTCCCCCTCTCGGGCTAAATTGACAGTGACATGCACAAAGCTATAGGTAGAATTAAATTCCCCCAAAATCAACAAGCAAACATACTACCCTCAACATGAAGAAGTGGTAGTTGGGACTAGATCCCGGTCCCGGTCCCCGTCGTCTAGTTATCCGTGCTGTGAATCAGAGGCGACATTAACGTACCGTTGACCGGCAAGGCAAAACCAAACCCTCTCACCAAAGAAGTCAGCCATCCTGCAACACCCAGGAGATTGTATCTACAGCCTGGAGCCCTGAGTACAGTACTAGAAGTAGCCTGATGGGCGGGCGCCCCCCCCCCCCCTCCCAGTGCGTGGACGGACCCTCTCGCCGTTAGATTGGGCGGGGAAGGCCTACCGGTCCAGCGCCCAGCTTGCACAAACTAAAGTGCATTGCATGGGGCAGATGCAAGTGCAGGCTGCGCGTTGCTTCTTGTGGGCTTGTGGGCTTGAACCCAACTTACCGATCGATTCCTATCTTCCCCCCGCCCCCTAGCCTGATCGCTTACCCAGTTGCCACACCCTACGGCCGGTAAACCCGTTGGGTAACTGTTACCGACGTCCGACAACTGGCTGTCCAGGTGTCCGTCCTACTCAAGCCTAACAACCAGCCCCATTTCTGTTGGGAAGCTCGAACTCATGTAGCCAGGACAGGACAGGAAGGCCGTATGTATGCATTTTAAGTTGGTTTCCTTTTTATCAGAAAGAAGAAACAACAACGATCAATTTGAGAAACGCCTTCGCCGCTTGATATACACCAGTCAACCCTTTGGTAGTCATTAAACAAAAGGAACCACATCAGGAATGTCCAAACGCAGACGCACACATACAAAAACTAAGCATGAAAACGAGGGAAAAGAAAGATAGACAAAGGGGCGTTCGTTCGTTCACACATCAGAGCCCGAGCTCTTTATCCTTTCCAGCATCCGGATCCAGGTAATCCTCACCCTCGGCCGCCTCGTACTCCCCAACCAGGTCCATAACCACAGCTCGGGCCTCGTCGAACTCCCCTAGACCATCCGAGAAGGGGCTCTGCTTCTTGTATTGCTCTAAGAAGGCGTTGCGCTTGCGCAGGCGGTCGTACTGCTGAACGATCCGCTTGAACAAGGTGGCGACTGAGGTGTGGTTGGCCAGCATCAGACCGCTGACGCGGTGCGTGTCCTGGATGTATGGTGATTTCTTTGTCAAGGCCACCTGGATGCTGGCGGGTCCCCACGGAATGAACGACGCCAGGCGCCGCTCGCGGATGCGGAGCAGCGACTTGTGGACGTCGGTGGGGTCGGCTTCGCCCCGGATGATGTTGAGAATGCTGATGTAACAGCTGGATTTGCTGGGGTTGATCGACACCATTCGGTTCTTGGGCTGCAGGAGTCGGCGCATCACGTCCAGGACGGTCGTCTTCCGGATGGTTTTGGCCTGCTCGATGTTGTCGCCGGTGAAGGGGGTGTAGGAGGTGATGAGGAAGTGGCTGCGCGGCGTGGGTATCAGGGAAGCGATGATTCCTACCAGGTCGTTGTGCATGTAGCCGGGATAACGGAGGGTGGTGGTGGAGGCGGACATGACGGTGGACACCTAGAAAGACAGTATTAGGGACACGTCCGTTTCCTTTGCTCCTGTTGTCTGCGCATGAGGATCATACTAGCTGATTTGTTTGTTGAAATGATGGTTCTTGCACATGGAGTCTGTCGGCAACGATTCTTGAGAGAGCGCCATTGTCCAGCACAACCTAAATATGAGAGGCAATCATTTTAGCTTGTACCGAGAACATCCCGGCAGGGTACGTAGGATTCAAGGAGGTCTTACAACAGAGTCGGCATTTTGCGTCAACCGTCGCATGGTGAGCAGACTGTTGTATGGGTTGACGACCACGTCCACAGAGTGGGTATCGGGAAAGACAGAGTAGGTCTGCATTAATTTCTTGGGGAATCGGTCGTTCATCCGCTCAAGGATAAAGCTGCCCAGACCAGAGCCTGTGCCTCCTGCGATCGAATGCAAGAACATGAATCCCTAACATAGTGCGATGTCAGTCCCATGATTCGAGTGACGTATCCAAGTGCCAGTGTTTATGTGTCTCCTCCTTAGGCACCATGGATCATACCTCAAGTGAATCGCTCCCATCCGCTTCTCGATCGATCATGTCGAAGATCTCCTCCTGCACAACTTCACCCGCGGAGTAACCGGCGCCCCAGTTGTTTCCTGCGCCAATGCCCTGCTGTCCAATGAAGAAGTTCTCGGGGTTGTAGATGTTTCGGTAGGGACCGGCTTGAATAGCATTGAGGACCTGGTTGAGAAGCATGAGCTCATGATCTGTGCACTAGTACAGACGTGTCGATTGATTGCTGCCGAGGGAGGGTTCGTACTCTGGGCTCAAGATCCAGGAGGATCGCTCGGGGGATATAGCGAGTATCGTCACTCTAAGAAGAGAAAAAGTTGTTAGACTTGTTTGTCCAGGCACCCAAGCTCTGGAATTCGCGGGCGTACCTGGTAGAAGAAGACATCCTTACGGTCGCCGCCTTCAGTTGCGAAATCTTCTAAATTGCCATCCTGACTTATTCCGTGTTCGAGACAAAGCTGCTGCCAGAATTGCGAGCCGACTGAGTGACATGTCAGTTAGTAGCAGCACTCGAGCAAAGAAGCACAATCTTGGAAGCTATTGTTGTTGCGATAAGAAATAGTGTTGGGAGCAGGGCTAGGTACCATTGTTGCCGCACTGGCCGGCTTGGATTGTGATTATTTCTCTGATTCCGGAATTAGTAATGTGAATGATCAGATAGAGAACCTGAGACTGATTACAAGAGAAGCGAGATTGTGGCACATACCTGGGCATCTTTCTGCTTCACCACCGTCAGTAGTCGTGGTTTTTGGCCCACGCGTAGCGCGTTCCGCGGGGAAACTTCCAGCTTTCAATCTAGGTTAGGTGTGGCGGCCTCAGGCCGAAACTGCTATCAGTCGGCAGCTTCTACGACAATGAACTTGCCCGGACTCAAGCGCATTATGTTCTTGCCCGACACATCTCGTTTGAAATATACTACTCATAAGAACATGGATCTCTTTGCTTCACTTACACAATCTTCACGAGCGAGCGAGATTTGCATGCATTGGTCTGCACTACCGACTGATTTGCGCTCTCATCGAAGCTTAGACTTGGCGCAGAATTGCCGTACTGTTTGACGAATGGCCAGACCGCTGCTGTTCTAATTCAGCAGCAGGCCTACTGAGAGCCTCGATACCACCCTGACCTACCCAGGGCGATAAAATTTCTGTATGTACAAAGGAGGTCAAATGCGGGCTTCGTTCAGTAACCGACTTTGCATGCTGTCACAAGCATCCCCGCCCCGGCAGCAACCCCATCAATGATTCTCACTTGACAGCCCTTCTGCCGACCATATGCTTTCACACACCCTTCTCGGACTGCTTCTTCCATGCCTACCATACCGGCGCAACCCATGCAGATCGCGCCCACGGAACGTTGCGAGCCTTTGAGGAGTCGCTCAGTTGCTTCGACAAGCCGTCGTCTCACTTCTTGGGGAGGAGTGGTGTGCAGCTCAACGGCGGTCAGCCCTGTAGTCTCAACCCCAGCAAAATGACTAATGCTACCGTCGCTTGAACGACCGAGCATGTCAGCAACGGCACTGCTGAGCTCCGTCTCCCAGATTTTGCCGGTGGAGATGATGCCGAAAGTTTCCGGCGACTGGGCCTTGTGGAAGCCCTGCCCCGATGCGTACTGAAACGAGCTGACCACGCCCAGCGAAGCTAGCACTCCAGCTTCGAAGATACCCGTGACGTACTTTCGCTTCACTTTCTGCTCTGATGGCACGATGGTGGTGTTTGATTCCTCGATCTTGCGCACCTTCTCCTTCAACATCCCCACTAGAGGGTGAGCTGAGAAGCAACATACGATAAAGCCGTCATATTCGGAAATGATGCGCTCAAGAAATGGCATGCAGTAGAGAGCCGATTTCACCGAGTCTTCGCCTGAGTCAATGCTGGGCACCCCCTCCACAGTGCTGCCGTCCGGAAGAGTGACGGTTTCCGACACCGGGGCTGTGAAATAGTCGAACTGAGTACCCCCGTGGCCGAGGTTATCCAATAGTGGAATTAGCGCATTGGTCATATGCGACGAGGTGTTCGGGTTGATGACCAGTATCGAGCATGTGTCCTTGCTTGGGGCGCTCATCTTGTAGAAAGCAGTGTGGCAAGGATGAGATCAAAAGTCGGGCGCAGGTACAAATGATGATATGGACAAAGTATGTTGATGAGTCAAGCTCATCAGAGTTCACCAGATGCCGATAGCGGATTTGTTAGTTATTGTTGCCCAACAGTGAGAGCTGGTTACCCAAGGAAAGGGAACCAAGCCATCATCAATTATGCTTCACATACTATGAACAGAATTATGCAATGATGCTTAAGTCAGTCAAGATGTCGATACTGACTCAGAAATTATGGTAGCCGCTGCCGATCGAAGCAGAGATTAGACCTACAGTTGCTCGGCGATGCCGTCGGACGGGCGGGGTGTGGGTTGCGCCATACTCAACTAGTCAGTCAACTATGGCGGGGAAGGTGACAAATACAGCTCTTATCTCCCTGACACCTGCTTTCATTGTATTTCCTTCATAAACCATCCTTTCTCGACGAGGACCAGTCTCTATATCATTCTCTGATAAATCTCCTAATTCCCATACATTGCATTTCAGGTAGTCATCACATTCAGCAATATAGCCAATTGCGATTCCCGGCACAAGCTAACTTCCTCTTAGCTCCACTGTACCCCGCCCTGGTGTCCAAACGCTGAGCCATTCACCTTATATTCCCACCATGCCTCTCGTCGCACAGAACCCCCTACCAAGGGTCATCCTTGGGTTAATGACATTTGGTCCGGACGAGTCTGCAGGGGCTCGGATCACCTCAGTCGACGAGTTCAACAAGTGCCTGGACCTTTTCCAACAGCAAGGCTTCAATGAGGTTGACACTGCGCGCACATATGTCGGAGGACAACAGGAAGCTTTCACTGCTCAGACGAAGTGGAAGGAGCGTGGGTTGACCTTGGCCACCAAGTGGTACCCCGGGCAGCCGGGCTACCACAAGCCACACGTCATTCGTGAGAAACTCGAGCTCTCACTGCAGAACCTGGGTGCAGACTGTGTTGACATCTTCTACCTTCATGCTGCCGACCGCTCGGTCCCCTTCACGGAAACCCTGGAGGCTGTCAATCAATTACACAAGGAGGGAAAGTTCGTCGAGCTCGGTCTGAGTAACTTCACTGCCTTCGAGGTAGCGGAGATCGTCACAGTCTGCAACGAGAGAGGCTGGGTACGCCCGACCATCTACCAGGCCATGTACAATGCTATTAGTGAGTCGCTTGCTCGGGTTTCCGGAGATCATGATGTCCCATGATAGTACTAACCAGCCTTGCCCCAGCTCGGTCCATTGAAACCGAATTGGTCCATGCTTGCAAGCGGTATGGCATCGACATTGTGGTGTACAACCCGCTTGCTGGTGGAATCCTGTCTGGAAAGTATAAGACCCAGGATATTCCCGAAGACGGCAGATACAGCGATAAGTCTTCCACTGGCACGTTGTATCGCAAACGCTACTTCAAGGACGCGACCTTTGATGCCCTGCGGGTTATCGAGCCTGTCGCAGAGAAGCACGGTCTGGCATTGCCGGAAATTGCGTTCCGCTGGATCCGTCATCACTCTCTTCTAAACATCAAGGAGGGTGGCCGAGACGGCATTATCGTGGGTGTGAGCAGCATCGCACAGCTAGAGAGCAATCTCAGAGACATCCAGAAGGGCCCATTGCCCGAAGAAGTGTTGGAAGCCCTGGACAAGGCATGGCTGATTGCGAAGCCCACGGCGCCGGATTATTGGCACCTCGACCTGAAGTACACATATGATACGAAGGAGGCATTGTTCAAGCCGAAGGCAAACGCCTAAGTGTGGTGTGAGTGACAGTAAGTTGACGGAACAAGACATATATGAAATCACTGAGTCTCGATATATGTAATCACTCCATCCAAGCGCAAGCTAGTTGTCGCACACTTTCCTACATATGTGAAACAAAACAGAAATTGCACGGAAACCTTTGATAAGGGACCGAAATTGCCAAGCTACGTGGCTCGATTTACAACTCACATGTGATACGGACGTAACAAGAAAACGCGCAACCTCACAAGAGGTCAGGAAAGGGAAAAGGGGGGTGGCCAAATTGGCAGCGATACCATGGTATGGTAGTTGGCTGGCAGTAAAAGTGGCGGAAGGCATGCAGCACGCAGTCAAATCGGAATGAATTATTGTAAGCCGGCAAAGTAAACCATCACGAGTCGATCGAGCATCAAGAGACGGGATGCGATTGTTGTTCCAAGTTACGGAGTACGGAGTAGATAGATGGAAGATCACATGAACAGCAACCCTTGGAGAGTCTAGAGCATCGATGGCATTCCACCCACCACCCATGCTGCAGCTTGGTCGGTGTCGCATATTGCCGACAGGCTGAGGAGCATATTCGGAAACAGACGCCGCCGAATATTTTGACTGCGAAGCATTTAGCTCTGTGATCTCTATACAAGGCTTTCTCTACGTCATGTCTAACAAGAGCGACTACCGGTACGTGCAGCATCACGGTTATCTCCGTTCTCGACCGGGACAAGATTCCCCTCCAATTCGCTATAGCTGGGTGAACTCTTTTGTTCATCGTACGCAACGAGACTCCTATTTTGAGCTATCAGGAGTCGATCCTCGCATACTACATAGTCCGAATCTGTTGTAGCCTCAAGGCCAGTCCCCTTACATGAATCTAGGCCCATGTCCCAAGACTAATCTGGGGAAGGCGTCTGACAGCACCTCTGCCACATTTCTCACTCACGGCCCCAAAAATCCCTAGTATCAGGCCTGTCGCAAATAACTCCTTGACAATGCGCTTATCACTTCCTTGCGTGATCATTCCATGAAGATACTGTACATACTTCCTATCCGGCTTGCCAGCAGCACAGGGCTATGGGATTTCGTCACAAAACTCTAATCCTCAAATGGAGCCAGACTCAGAGGAATTCGAGGAAGGCAAAGCTGGTTTCTCTCTCTCCTGACAAGGCTGTTTCCATCGCTTGCGCGAATAGGTCCTGGCGCTCGTGCTGCAGTGATACCTTGCTACTATGCAGCGCGAACTACGGGCAAGCGCCGAACGCAAACGAGTCTCGACAGCCCAAGGAAGACTGCATCAAGGGGGCCCGCAGCTCTCTCAGCCCATGGGTTTCAGTCGAAAACACCTCAAGCGCTTGAAGAGCCGCATCTATGCTGGGATCTAGATCCCGAGGTCACACTGATATCTGCTACCGGGACATGGGTGAGGAGAAAAACCATGAGGGTGGCTTGACGATAGTCCCCTTACCTGCCGCTTGGCTGTTGAGAGTTGCAATGAAGGACTAGAAAACTACTTAAATTGGTGATTGACCTGGTGTGGCGGTCGAAGATTTACTCCGAGGTTTGATCCAAGTCGCAATTGAGCCTATCCAGGCACCCCGGAAAAATCATGTCGCTTGTCATTGCTCGCTCCGCTGCACGCAAGCAGAGCTTAACAGTGCTCTCTTCCACAACGCTTACATCGGACGTCGAGAAAAAGGCCACGGTCAGTGTGACGGAGAAGCCTTCAGCATCTATTGGCGATGGGCAACTTGGTGATGATGCGGTCGAGTCTCATCGCTTCTGGTTTCAACGCTCCAAGACCTACAATCCAGATGCTATCGCGACGCAACCGTCGGTCTTCGACGACCCAGATTTAGCGGAGGAGTACAAGCCACGACCGGACTGGGAGAATATACATCGGTTCGACCCAACAGCACGATGGACCAGAGGCGAAGAAGATGTACCTCCACCCTAGGAAGTCAAAAGCATGGATGGTGTTGAAAGCTAACTCTGCTGCAGAGCGTGGTCAAGAAGCTCGATATCCGCATAATTCTATGGGCCTGTGTGATGATAACGGCGCTGGAACTTGACAGATCCAATATCCGTATGTACCGCCGCCCCTGATAAGCTTCGACACGGTCTGTCGACTGGTTTCTGATTGTACTAGAGCAAGCCAACGCAGATAACTTTCTGACCGACCTGAATCTTAGCCGCGATGGTCAGTGAGCACCTATCACACCACGTCGCTGTACTGACTGCTCTGCCCGAGGTAGATTACAACCTGGGAAATACGGTGTATAGGTTGTGCTATCTATTAAGTGAGATACCGGCACAAATTATCGGCAAGAAGATCGGCGCGGACCGCTGGATTCCGATCCAGATGATATCGTGGTCTATCGTCGCTTCTTGTCAGTTCTGGCTGTCTGGCAGGACGTCTTTCCTAGTAACCAGGGCTCTGATTGGTATCTTGTCGGGGGGATTCACACCCACGGTAAGTGAGTTCGAATGATGGCTAGGTTCTAGGAAGCTGTTCTGACCGATTCTAGATGTTACTTTACCTGTCGTACTTCTATAAGCACCACGAGTTGTCCATACGTCTTGGCTTCTGGTACTCAGCTTCTTCGTTGGCCGACATACTGGCGGCCCTTCTGGCATACGGCATCTTGCATCTGGGAGGCCGTGGTGGTCAAGCTGGCTGGCGCTGGCTTTTCCTGATTGATGTCAGTTACATTCTCCCAAGCCTCAGAAGACTGTTACTCATAGGATATAGGGTCTTTTCACTCTGGTTTTGGGGCTCTTGTCCTTCGTCTTCTTGCCCCCCGGACCAACTCAGACTGCGAACTGGGCACGAGGTAAAAATGGTTGGTTTACAGATCGGTATGGGGTTCTTTAGTCGAGCCTGTGCGATCTCTGAGCACTGATTTTAACTACTCTATAGAGAGGAAGTTATCATGGTCAATCGCATATTGCGCGAGGATCCTAGTAAGGGCTCAATGCACAACAGACAGCCTTTGACAGCGAAGCTGGTGTGGCTTAGCTTCAGCGATTTCGACCTGTGGCCGCTGTACATTGTCGGGATCATGTTCTTGACCCCTTGGAGTGAGTGGACCTACTTTGATCCATACTCTGCCTGTCAGAAAAGTCCAAGCTGACAAAACGTGAGCAGCAACGGTCTCGCAGTACTTCACTCTGCAACTGAAAGACTTCGGATTTGATACCTTCAACTCCATTCTTTTGTCTATGCCATACAGTGTGCGTGCGGGACCAGATGGTTGATTGTTTGTTGAGTACCAGTAGTGAGATGCTAATCTGCTAACGATAGGTCTTCATGATCATCACCCGAATCATCCTTACGTACGCGGGCGAGTACTTCGAGTCTCTGTCATGGATGGGACTCATCGCCCAGGTCTGGAGTTTGCCAATGTTGATTTATATGAATGCGGTGGACCTCAGTCAAACGAACAAGTGGGTGGTGTGGACTGTCCTCACCCTGTTTCTCAGCCTTCCGAGTGGTGAGTGCCTGTCCGTTGGAGGCTGCTTCTGCTGTTTCAGCTCCGGAAATCACTATAGTTACTGATCAATCATATATGCAGCTCATGCACTCCAAGCGGGGTGGATTTCCCGCAATTCGAATAGCGTCAGGACTCGAGCCATCGCAGCTGCGATATACAATATGTCTGTTCAGTTGTCTGCCATCATCTCCTCGAACATATACACAGACGGTGAGTGTTGATCATCTGTGACGCATCGGGGAAGTATTCTTGACTGACTTTGGATGCGTCCGTTGTTGCGTAGGGGATGCACCGCGTTACATCGCCGGGAATCGAGTGCTTCTAATACTTGTGGGCGTCAACATAATACTCTACATTGCTACTAAAGCTTACTACATGCTGCGAAATCATGAGCGAGACCGACGTTGGAACTTGATGACCGAGGAACAAAAGATTGACTATGTCGCGACGACCAAGGATGATGGAAACAAACGCATGGATTTCCGGTTTGCGCATTGATATGTGGTGGAGGAACACCTTCGACATTTGAACGCTATGATGACAAGATTAGACAAGCGATAATTAGCAGCAGTCCAAGATCTCTTTCTCACTTTGCCGGGCTGGGACGGAGGAGGCATCAGGGTGTCGTAATAACAACTCTGCTCAATCAGAAATTCCAAGTTCACTTTGTACAGTGTATGCACTCCAGGCTGTACTCTGTAATTGACCTGTCTAAGACAAAGACCTCATCCGGCGACTTGGCGGGGAAGCCCTCCAAAGCTGGAGACTCGCTCCGAGTTCCCCACACGTGACTAGCCGGAACCGAGTTAGCGCTGCACCGCCGCTGATCTGACTCGTTGTTGAGTGAGGCGGTGAGGGGGTTTTTTTGAGGGGGGCGGTGGTCCCTGACTCGAAAGGGAATAGGCCAACTACCTTAACGGATGCAATGCAACTGCGCATGGACTCGACTCTCCCTACCAGTAACCACATACTCCGGACTTACAGCCATCTTGACATCCTGGTACCCTTCAAGCCTTCCATATTTCGTCTTTTTCTTTCTTCTTTCTCTTCTCCCTCCCTCCCTTACAGCAGACCGACTCTCTTTCATTTTTCTTGGGGCTTGGCTCGTTCCTCCTCCCTTCCATCTTACTGTCCTAGTCCCGACGTCCCCACAATTATATTACACGAACGACTTTCGCAAACGTGGCCGCAGCGCAGCGGTCCGAAGTACTTCCCTCTCCCGGAGATATCCTACACATACGAGGCTGTATGCCTTGCCCTCAAGACCTCATCATCCGCTTCTGTCCCGCAGGCAACTGACCCGCTGGGGCTGCAATTCTTCCTTCGCTAGGCCCTCCACGTGAACGTTGGGCTCTAAACCTTCGGCAGTCCCTCCAATCTATCCTTCCGTCCACCTGAGCTGCCGGTCGTTCCATCGGCCGATTGCGCGGCTTACCCGCCCACCTTCATCCCACTTTCCGACGCACGCTTCGTCATAGTCGCCCCGGTTTATAGATAATAGAGACAAGGAGCAGGCTTCCGAGTCTCATTGTCGCTCGTCTCGCGTTCCTCCCTTCACACTTTTTGTTTACATCTGTCAACCCAGATAATCCGCACAAGGTGGCTGCAGATAGCGTGCCATTAACGGGTGTGGGAGAAGCCCGGGATCTGGATCCGGCCCTTGACTTCCACGATTCGGATGATGAAATGCCCATGAACCGCCCTGTCATGCATCGACCCGCTGACGGCCGCGCCCAACAACCGCTGCTCAAGGATGAGCGTCGGGGACGGCTATCGAATGCCAGCCTGGGCAATGGTGATGCAGAAGGCAGGCCTATGCTTCACCATTCCCGGCGACCGACCATCCGCGGCAGTAGTCCCGAGCACAGCGCGGAGCACGCGACGCGCCAAAAATATATGATTGCCTCGGGGTTCCTGCTTCTGAGCCTGGCGAGTTTCGTGGTTCAGACGGAGACCGCGGTATACATTCAGCACGAGCTGCACTGGGACAAACCATATTGTATGCTGTAAGTTTGGAGTACTCGATCGCCTGGCTCACCTTCGAGACCTCTACGCTATTCAAGAGGCTAACCTTTCCCCGCTGCTACCTAGCTATCTCACACATGGTTCATGGGCGCTGCTGTGGCCGTTCCAGCTCCTTATCCTTCGCTTGCAGAAACGCAAACTGTCCTGGGCGGCGTTCTGGCGCCGGCATGTCTATATCCTTCGCACGACGGCAAAAATGGTGGAGACCCAGGATGTACACCTCACGTCCCGTGATTCCCAGCGATCGCCTATCCCGTATATGCTCCGAACAACGGCGTTTGTCACCACCGCTCTCACAATTGCCGGAGGCTCCTGGTACGTTGCGGTCAACATGACCACGCCGAGCGACTTGACCGCTATCTACAACTGCTCGGCCTTCTTCGCGTATGCCTTCTCGATCCCCCTCCTCAAGGACAAACTGCGGGCCGACAAGATCATCGCGGTCGTGGTGGCCATCGTCGGGGTGCTCGTGGTGGCATACGGGGATCGCGACGACGGCAAGAAAGGGAAAGCGCATGACGAAGCCGAGAATCGGTTGCTGGGCAATATCATCATCGGTATCGGCAGTGTGCTGTACGGTCTGTACGAGGTCTTATACAAGCGGTTCGCGTGTCCCCCGGAGGGCACCAGCGCCGGACGCAGCATGATCTTCGCGAACACGTTTGGCAGCCTCATCGGATGCTTCACGCTCCTTGTCCTGTGGATCCCCTTGCCCTTTCTGCACATCATTGGTCTGGAAACCTTCCGCTGGCCGACCGGCGAAGCGGCCTGGATGCTTCTGATCTCCGTCCTTGCCAATGCCAGTAGGTCAAGTCCGATCAAGCACACCCCCATAAACCGAGGATTGAAAAACAAACTAATACCACCTCTCTGTCATAGCATTCTCCGGCTCCTTCCTCGTCCTGATCTCCCTGACCTCGCCCGTCCTTTCCTCCGTAGCCGCCTTACTGACCATCTTCCTCGTGGCGATCGTCGACTGGCTGCGCACCGGCCAACCCCTGTCGCTGGCCTCCATCATCGGCGGGGTTCTCATCATCGTGGCCTTCTTCCTCCTCAGCTGGAGTACCTACCGCGAGATGAACGAAGAGCGCAAGAAGGTTCTCGCCAACGAGCAGACCGAGTCCGACTCCGATGACTGATTGACTCTTACAGCCTCTGTAATACCCAAAGGCGCAGATGCAGCTGCGCTTCACCATCCCACCATTTATATATTCCCTCGATATCCATTCGCCTTTCCGCTGGTAGAGACGGGCCTCTGGTTCTCTTTTTTTTTTTTTTCTGTGTCATGTTCCTGCTATTTCATGGGCGTGTGCTGTATGATGCGTGACCATACTCACTCACATAATTCTTGTCTTCCACATTGTCTTCTGTATAGGTCATGCATGTCCCCTCTTCCCTTCCTTCTGTATTCTTGGGATCATAGAGGCCCATGTCCTGCATTCTGAGGAGTTTTTATTTTTTTTTCGGTTGGTAGAAGATATATACACCACATAGACTTAGACGAAGGATTTCTGTGCTGATTTCGGTTGACTACTCGGTCTGATTATGTCTGAGATTCTTGTAAGATGGATTGTAGCAAGGAGAAAAAAAGTTTATGATTTGATTACCCTAAAAAGTCCAGTGACTCGGTGCATACCTACATGTGGAATTTACAATTGCAGCCCTTCGAGAGGGACGACCATATGACGAGGGGAAGGTGTATTACAGTATAACAAGCTTGAGTACGAATGGCATGGATGGGCATGCGCTTCATTGTTCCTCAGAGAACGAGCGAAACACCCGGTTTGGAAATATGTATATTCCAACTGCATAGTGTGAACGTGGAAGATCGATATAAATATACTTCGATAGGATAAAACGGATCTGGCTAGAATATACAGTGCGACGCGACGAGCCTCGAAGTGTTTCGAAATAAAGTCACTGTGGGATCAGGATATGGCGAGTTGAGCACTTGAAAAGTAGGTTGATAGGTATGGATGTATGTATGTACGGTTACTTGGTTTGAAAAGTGGTAAACTACCTAGACTGTTTATCTTGGACCGAGTTTGGCGAGGGCACGTGCGCCCTGTTCCTCCCATTCTTGCTTGGTGACCCACATATCCTCCTTGTCGGCGATCTGGAAAAAGAAAACAGGGTTAGCGGACAGTCACGGACACAAGCTGGGTGACTACGGGTTGCATACCAGGTTGGCCAGCACGGCACCTCCGAGGAAGACCATGTGTCTTCGTCGGGGCGGGTCTTCGATGCGGACCTTGAATTTCTATATGGACCACGTTAGCTGGATGGCATAGAATGGGGCTTGTCTGGGACAAAAAGCGCATACGTTGAGTCGCTCCGGGTTTCCTTGCAGTACTCGGGTGAGCCACAGTTGCTTGAGCTCCTTCTCCAGACGCGAGGGCAGACCGGGGTACATGCTGCTTCCTCCACTGAGCACGATGGCCTTGTAGAGACTGGAGCGCACGTCGACATCGGCACCCTGGATGGTGTTGAACAGCAGCTCGGCGATACCGGGTTGGTCGACGTCGACCAAGTGCGGCTGGAAGAGACACTCGGGGGCCTCGAACCGCTCGCTGCCCACGCGGATGACACGGCCGTCGGGAAGGGTGTAAGACTCGACGAGGACCGTCGTGTCTTCCGAGAGCTTCTTGTCCAGTTCCAGGTCGTATGAGACGTAGCACAGCTTCTCCTTGATCTGGCGCACGGTCTCGAAGTCGGCCGTGCGGTTGAGGGCGTAACCGCGGCGGAGGAGAAGGGCGATCAGGTTGCGGGTGACGTCGCGACCAGCAACGTCCAGTCGGCGGATGTGGTGGTTCAGGACGGTGGATTCATAGACGGGGATAATGTGGGTGACACCGTCTCCGGAATCGACGACGACACCACTGCTGAGACCTGCGATTCGCGGAAAAAGAGCATGGAGCTTAGTCGGTGACAGAGATGATGTTCCAGAAGCACTGGCGACTTACCCTGAGCATACAGCGCAAGTACGGCCTGGATAGCGACGTAGACACCACCGAAGTTGTAGCCTTCCAGCATCACCTCGGCCATCTGCTCCCGGTTCTTCAGGGGGTTCATGGGGGGTTCGGTGAGGAGGATCTTGCGGCCGGTGGGGTCGATCTTCATCTTCTCGTAGAAAGTGTAGTTCCATAGGTGTTGCATGTCGTCCCATCTCTTGACAATTCCATTCTCCATCTAGTGAGACCGGCCAGGAAACCATTCCGGCCCAACGTTAACATGGCTGCTGAATTATGCCGCGAGGCGGGGGGAAGGAAGACGGTAATTCAGAACCAGCAAATGTATAGACATACGGGATAGGTGATTTGGAGCATTGATCTGGCGGCAGCAGCTTCATCGCCGCACATGATATCCTTGACGACAATGTCGCCTGCTTGCTCTTCCGTCCGCAGTATGGGGCGCCCCACTATCGAGGGGAACTGGTGCTCGGGGAAGTTCTGCAGGAAAACACGCGCGTTAATGATTGAACGCGATTGACGAGATCAAAACAGAGTAGACCGACCTGCGCAGCATATCCGACTTTGAGGAAACCCGTTCCTCCATCGAGCACTGTTTGGTTGAATTGTTGTGGTTAGCTGAAGGGAAGGCGGGAGGTACGGAGAGATGCCGGGCAAGGAGAGGAGGGACGGGCGGAGAGAGTAAGGGGGAGGAGGGGTTGAGGTGGGAGGAGGAGCGCAACGTACCAATAGGCATATCAGCCATGATGATAATGAGATTGAGCGACCGGGGAAAAGAAAAAAGGAAGGCGATTGATCAGAAAGCGGGAGGAGGGGGAAAAGGGAACGAGGGAGTGAGTATGGAGATGACGTCCAGAAGGCAGGCAGGCAGGCAGGCAGTAAGTTAGTCGGAGACACAGCAGCAACAACAGCAGCAGCAGCCGCAGCAGCAGTAGTAATGGATGGAAGACCAGGTCGCCCGTCCGGAGCGGCACTGCTTCAGTGGTGGGGCCTGCCGGGCGGTCAATCACCGGTTGGTGCCTGAGGCTGTAAACTTACATTAACTTCCCTGTCGTCTACTCTATAAGTACTGTACTGGGTCTCAGATCACACAGATTATACTCTATGATCTATGGTATATACTATAATTGCAAGCTGCAATGCTCCATGACTGAAGCTACTCTAGAACATCAACAGTCTCATTGCATCCCATGAAAAAAACTACTATAGTCCCTAATCATCAAAACCCTCAATGCTTTAGATTATGGAGACTATGACCTTTAGAAAACCGAGGCCAGTTCAGACCCGATTGAGACATAATACCAACCATTAGCATAATGAGTACAATAGTCAAGAAACACGACTGAATCAAAGTGCTTGTTGATTCTATGCCAATATCTCCGCCTTCCCCGACATCGGGTCCGGCCGGTTATCGTCTGTCGCCCGAGATACGTAGGTACTACAATAGTCACAGACCATAAGATAAAATCCAACCACCACTCACCATCATTTCCACTCTAAGCGAGTGACTCCCTACTATAAAGGTCTCAGTATACCTATAATCAAACACAATGCCACAAATCGGTTGGGTCCGTGCCATGCTTCCCCCTCCCCCCTCCCTTCTCATACCACAAACCAAAACCCCCAAGCTTCACATACCCATACTGAAATCCCACCAACCCAACAGTATGGCCTCGGCTCCATGGGCCTGGCCATGGCCAGCAACCTCCAAAAGCACCTTGCCAGCAAACGAGCCCTGAATCTGCTCTATTCGAACCGGACAATGACTCGCGGAGACCCTCTCAAGGCACTGGGCGGGACCCCGGAGTCGAGTTTCACCAAGCTCGTCGCCCAATGTGGCATCATATTCACCATGGTATGTCTATAAACCATTACTGGAATCCCCATTACAGCGACGGGGCGTCTTGCCAAAAACCAAAACGATTCGATCAAAAACCCAGCCAACTAACTCTGCGAAAAAAAAAAAGGTCTCCAACGACGCCGTCCTCCAACATCTCATCACCACAGCCACAGAGTCCGAGGTCTCGCTGCGCGACAAGATCTTCGTAGACTGTTCGACCGTCCACCCGAGCACGGTCGGCCGGACCGTGGCTCAGCTCCAGGCGAAAGAGGCCTCGTTCCTGGCGGCGCCCGTCTTCGGCGGCAACCCCATCGCGGTCGACGGCAAGCTCGTCTTCGCCCTGGGTGGGCCAAGGCCGGCCGCGCAACAAGTGAAGCCGTTGATCCAGGACGTGATGGGGCGGAAGGTCATCGATTGCGGCGAGGATGCTACGCGGGCCTCGCTATTGAAGATTGCGGGGTGAGTACTCTGCTCGTTTTACATGTCATCGCCTATATTGTTTTTGGGCGCTTTTCCATTCGAGGAGGCGGTTTTGGCTCTGTGCTGTGTGATGAAGGAAGCATGGGCTAACGTGCAGTGTCCACACAAACTAGCAACATCGTCACCGTCAACATGATGGAAGCCGTCGGCGAAGCGCAGGTCTTCGCTGAACGCACGGGCCTGGGCACTGGGCCGATGGAGGAACTCATCGGGGAAGCCTTCGGCCCCGTCGCGGGGGGATATTCGAAGAGGTTGGCCTGTCTTTTTTGTACCCACTACTCAGCAGATGAATGTACCCTCTAACATGCGCTAGGTTGACGACGGGCGCGTACGCGCCTCCGCTGGGCTCACGGCCTGGATTCGGAGTGTCCTTGGCTATCAAAGATGCCAAACATGCTTTCGCTATGGCCGAGGAGAGCAAGGTTGAGCTCCCGGGCTTGCAAGTGGCTTTGGACAACATGGAGGCGGCCAGGGATTATGCGGGTGAATGCTTAGATAGCAGCTCCATGTATGGGGTTCTACGGCAGAAGGCGGGATTGCCATTCTGGAATGAGAAGAGCAGACAGGGCAACTCGTCATGACCGTACAAAGTGTCAGTACAGTCACTCTGTGTGTACTAAGACAATTCCGGGGGATCCAGCATCATGATGTCTGTGGGTTTGTCATATGAGAGCAGTCGAGATACAAATAATTTTCCAACGCATTTCTATGACTCAATATCATAAATTCTGTCAAGCACCGTGTCTTTCGTGTTAAGGCATACCTCGATGCACTGGCAGCTTTGGTTGACCATTAAAAAAAAAAGTCGGAAATCCGAGTAAATATCCTTGAGAAAGTATTGTTTTCTAAGACGGGTAATTGCACATGACATGCGTTCAGAGATGAGAAAGCAAACGTTGGGCATGACCGAGGCCACAGGCCACCGAACTTAGACCGTGGTTAAGCGGCCCACTCTACCAATTATGTGCATTGTACTATTGCCGGTGAGTGGTTTTTTATTTGATCTTGGTTGTATCTACCAGCGAAGGGTATGCCTCCGCAAACGCCGGGCCGAGGGACCAATTGCTGAGGTTCCGGAAATGTCTTTCGAAGACAGGATTGATAATCAAATCGTCACCATCTCCAGTAGAGAGCAGACAATCGGTTGCTTCATATGGCCAATTGACCGACAGAGTCCGTGTGAAGGGTATAAACCAGTTCTCGAACGGATAGTCTCGATACGTCATCACCAAGCGATCTCGCATGCGCGGCCAAGGCAAATAGTCAATCCAAGCCGGATGCGGAGTGAGTAGCTGCGATGGACGGGGGGTCAGCCATTCAGGCAATCGCTCGTAATTCTCTGGAGTTGGATATATTTGCCATCGCATTAAAAGGAACATCAAAAGAAGAACACAAACTTGCTCCGGCAATGTTGCGATATCCGGGAACGTGCGCAGAATGTCAGTGAACACTTTCGACAAAGGATGTGAGTACACACTCCGTTCTGGATTGAGCAAGGACGATACGCTAGGATACGACGGGCCAACAAGATTCTGTTTCGGTACACCCTTTGCTGCCTCTTGCTGGCGATGATGCAAGAAATCCATGAGGATGGCGTCTAGTGTGCAGGTCGGCGCGATGTTCCGGATTGGAGTCAAGTGCGCAGGCAAGGACAGCGGTTGCTCCGTCGTCGCGCCTGCAGGTAGAGGTGCTGGATAAGTCGAGGCTGTGCTCGCAGGGGCTGGTCTGGGTGCCTCGGAGCAACGACGAAATCCATCCACCTTGGGTACCTGTTGCGACGTATCGAGCAAGAAATTGAATCCCATCCGCTCATCCGTGCCGCCGAAGTCAAGGCCATGGGCTAAATTATGTCGCTGGTAATCAAACGCAATGCGAAACGAAGCCGGACCAGCAGCCGTTAAATTCCGTCGACCTGCAGTGGGCGAGAATGTGAGGGGTGTGGAGGAGGAAGGGGGCTGCGTGCCCGCAGGCTTCGTATATGAGGAATCGGTCGAGGCCGACGGTTGGGTGTTTGAAGGAAAATGGCTATTGTCTGAGAAACACGACGTCACGGATATCGAGGGCATGGGTTTGGCGCTCGTAGAGGCGGCTGCCGACGCTAAAAGATCTAGAACATGTCTGAGGTAAGTATATCTGCCCGAATGCTTGTCGAAGCAAACTAGACAACAGATGTGGCCTACCAGACTTTGCCTGGTCTCCTAACAGGGGTTGTATAATCTCCAGGACTGCTTTCAACCCCTGCTTGAGTTCTCTGTTCTCCACTTGAACGGCTTCATTCTGCTTCAGCGCAGCCTGAAGATCCAAGTACGGTTTCTGCGACGAAAGATCGCGGACTTGCTGTTCGAGCAAGTCGATATGAGCCTTCGTGCGCTCGCGAATTGCGCGCTGGGCCTGGCGATCATTGGCTCGCTTCTTAGCTAGTTGTTCCGGGGTAAGATTGGCGACACCCCGGGCGGAATTGCTGTTCAGCTTGCGTTTCCGGCCCGCAACCGCCGTGGCCGCGCCTCCAGCATCAGGCGCGGGCGTATCTGCATCACCGGAGGCCAATGCAGACGGGGTGGGGGAGTCCTCGACTTTCACCACCGAGTTCGAATCGGAAATTGCAGCAATAGAAGTGACTGGGTGACCGGGCACCAGCGAGGATGTAGATGATGGGGATGTTTCCTCGAGGGCTGGCGATCGAGCCAATTCATTGAGAGGCGGTAGGCGGGTGGCCATGGCCGAACACTCGCGGGCTGGGGCTATGTGAGCTACCCAGCCATTCAACACGATCAGGACGTGAGATTAGACGAGTTGTAGAGAACGTTTGACAAAAAAATTATTGTTTCACCCAGTGATGGACATATGTGACATTTGAAAAAGACTGACTGGTGGGGGATGGCTTTAATTGAAAGATAATGAGACATGCATGAATGCATGCTCGAGGTGGTCGGGGAAGGTGGAAATATTAATGATGGAAATATTAATGATGGGGGGGGGGGACGAGACAGAGGATGGGAAAGCGGACGGAGGGTCCCGAAGGCGCAGGAAGGAATCGATTCGGTCTGGTTGGTTCCAGCAGTGGGAGCAGTGGGTATTCACCCCCCCAAAAGTCAATCATTAGCACCGCTGTGCACCACGTTTTGCCTTCCTCTTGTCAATTGCCATTCGTCTCTTCAGCCTTTGGCCTTTTGACAAGATGGCGGTGCAGAATCAAGAACTATGGTTCCATGGGGTCAAAGTTCGATAGCGTGGCGTCCGGCATGTTCTAGCTGCACAAACAAAGCACCCCTCCCGGCCCAGGGTTGAGCAGTCAATGTGCACATCATCGACGGCATTCTGGCCATTGTTCGGCCATTGTTCTTCCCATCAGTCTCCATCAGTCTTCGTCTCAAAGGGAACCATTCTCATTGGTCTTCAATTTGACAGAAGGATTAACGCCCAGGCCAAACGGGGAGCAAACTTCGCAGATCCCTTGTTGTTTCTCCGAAGTTATTGTAGCGATGATCCACCGAAACGTACAATGTGCACGAAACTAATCACCCCCGAAGGAGACCTTGGAAACGCGGTACGCACAGATGAGGAAAGTAAGGACAAGAAAAGCAAGGTAAGATAGACGTCGCTGTCTCATAAACACCGTACATTACATAAGACCTCTCCTCGAGGTCATCATGAGTATATAGAGCCCAGGGGTAAAGAAAAAGGTGTAAGCAGAAAGTGTGAAAGGTGAACATGCATGCGACAAGGAACGGGTGCTTTTTAGTCTACTGAATCATATGTCCCATTTTTGAAATCTGTCATCCAATTGATTAGCTTTGAGATACTTTTCGACAGCCAAGATGCACAAATGATAAGCCCCACAGTATGGGTGAGGCGGAGAGGGGGGAGAATAAGAACGTACCTTTGTCCTAAGATATCCCTCTACCTCTGTACTCGTAATGCCGGCCTTTCCGCCCGATCTCCATGCCAAGGGAATCATCGGCACGCGCTCCTTAACAACGACCTCGCGGTTGGGACCCTCAACTGCGCGCACCTTATCAGGATTGTTCGTGAGGAGTCGGATACCGTGGGGGTTGGCATCTTCTCCCAGGCCAAGATCGACAAGGATGGCCGTAGCCAAACCGTAGCTTCGAGCATCGGCAGGGTGTCGCAACAGCAGATTGGCCTCGACAGTATCTGATCCAAGATCCTGCAAGTTGTACGCTTTGAGCTTTTCTCCGAGGCCAATTCCTCGTCCTTCTTGCCGGAGGTAGACAATCACACCACCAGAAGCGTTCGAAGCGACGGGCACTGACTGCTGCGACGCGAGTTCTGACAAAGTCTCCATGGGGAATGACATCAATCTCGCTGCTTCATCGAGCTGTTCACCGCAGTCGCAGCGTGCAGACCAGGCGGTCTCTCCAGTATAGCATTCCGAATGGATTCGCACAAGTGGCGCTTGACTCGGGGTACTCTCATCTGCATTTTGCGTGTCTTTCGCTCCCTCGGCGTTCCCTTCCTCATACCAACTGCTAACCCGACCAGGGTGAAGTTTGCCAACATAAGCACCACGAATCATGCGATCCATTTCGGTCTCTCCAGGTCGAACCTTGTCCAAGCTCCGGCTGCGGATTGTGTTGCCAAAGACAATTGCCAAATGTTCTTTGTTATCCAGGTCGTTGTGGTAGAGGTGGAGAAACATCTCCGCGCCCGTCGTCGTCGGGATGCGGGCACGGACAATGCACTCGACATCGGGTAGGCGCGAGAGGAGTTTCGGTGGCTTTGAACTGGTAGGCTGCTGTGCTTGTTGGAGCAATTGTGCCGGATTGAACGTTCCACCTGGGGTTGCTGGCGGGGTAAAGGACGGGGAAAGAAGAGAGGCTGGCACGGCGGGGGTCACATCTCCCCGGTCACTGTCGGTCACACTGACCGCATCGCCACGGAGCTCATCTATCCGACTATTCAAGGCAATCTGATCTGACCCCAGCGAGAGCTGTTCAATGGTATTGGAAGAAGCGGGTTGCGCCGCAAACGTTGGTGAGGCGTGAGACGGTAAATTTGACATGGCGGGGAATGGCGAAGCGTAAAGGTGGTCGAGAGAAGGAAGGTGTGAGCTCTGAGGAAGAGAGAGGAGACGATGAACCAATTCTATCCTAGGACTGAATGAAGTTGCACATATGATTCAGCAAGGTAGTTGCGACAAGAGGACCATAGTCAGGTAGGATGCTAGAAAAGGGGAGGTGACTGTACAATCATAGATGTCCATCGTGGACTGCTATCTCGGCGCTGCGTTACTCTAGTCTCGGCCCCTCGGAATGGCGGCGGCTTCGGCGACGGGCGGGGAATCTCAATGACTCAGCTGTCATTAATCAGCATGACGCGATCTGTAGTCAGATTGTGGCAGTAGCAGGTAAACGCCACACCATGCACCGTCTACATGATCGCTCTTCTACAGAGTAGGCGAATCTGAGTCGCCGTGATTCAGAGGGCTGAATATAAGCATGACTAGTCCTAACCTTTTCAGTCCATCGGGACGAACTGGGGTGCAGACACATCAGCTTCCCATTGACTGTAGTGCATGTAATGCTGACTAGGCACCGGGGCTAAGCCTATTTGGTGTAAACCTGTCCAAGTAGATTTTCTGCATTGCGCTTCGTTCATTTGCCTTTGGTCCACAATATCATTTGTCCGCTACAGAACCACCTATTCCAAGTAACAAAGAGAAGGAAAAGAAGCAGGTTGAAAAATTGGAAGATGAAAAGCAAGTCCAACTCCGTGCAAAGTCACAAAACTCCATCAAATCATAAAAAGAACCTAGCTAAACAATGGGTATCAAGTAATCGATCAATCTGGCAGCCGATTTCACCCTTCCTCTGATTGCAGTATCGTAGAATGTTTCCCGCGCCATAAACCTGAGGCGATTCCGGACTTATCCCCTTTCTCTTCCTACTTCCCTTCAGAACCAATCCATCTGGCTTGGCATCTATCGAGGCTTGAGCGAGAGCAAAGGCCTGGTAGGAGAGGTACAGAGACGGCTGCATTACTTTCCGGGAATGTCCAGAACGAAGCGGCGGTCAACCTCCATCTCCTTATCATCTTCCTCACCCTCAAACTTGAGGCGATAGACATCCTTCTTAGTACCCATAACCTCGGCACGATAGAAAGTGGTAGTGTCTGGATATCTTGCTAGAACTTGTTTCCCAAGAGAAAACGAGGGCAACGTAGACCCGATGCGAGGTATTGGAATCAGCGACGCTGCGGCGGTTCTGTATACCGCGCCCTGTTCACCGTTTTCGTTTGGTTCCGGGTCCTGTACATCATACCTTTCGAAGGCACATCGGTCAATCGTTCTGTGGGACTGGACTAAGGGTTGGTGCGTACCGTTTCTTGGGCCCATCCCCGGAGATCCCTTTGATGATGCATTGAATGCCCTCGCCTTCGACACCTTGCTTGTTCTTGTTGTGCTTGAAGACGACTTCCGCCCCAACCACTAGATGCCCGCTTCGTTCGGCTAGCGTGCCCTTCGCGCCCTCGGATCCTTCTTCTACCTTGATTTGTACAATGGGGTCCCGGCCCTCGCGGGCCTGCGAGCTGGATGCACTGGTACTACGCTGAATGCCACCCTTCACGCGGCTGACTTTGTCCGACAAGGAGTTATTGGACGGACCCGGCGAGTCGGTAGCCGAGCCGTCCATCTCATTTCGCTTCTTCCGTGACTTGGAGAGAGATGCAGCCCGGTTCTGCGGCGCCTCGGCTTCTGATGCCTGCCGAAGCGCTGTCAAAAGACCGAGGTTCTTGATCACATCACTGGGCTCGTCTTGGAGGATAGCTCTTTCCTCCTCGCACAACTTCGCCATCTGCCTGTAAAGGCTGTCCAGTTGGTTATGCTCGCTCAAAGTTGGTTCTGTTGCGATCCGTTAGCGCCTGCAAGACTAACGGCCTCCGCCTCCGAGAAAAGGGCAAACAGAGGTCTAGATGCAACCATGGCTTGCACAGAAAGAGAAGCAATGGCACAACCCAATTTCTAGGTGTATAGCCTTAATTGTAGGAGGAGAAAGCAAAAGGCGAATGAATGCCCATCGAGAAGGAGATGAATATGACTTACTCCCGCCCTCTCGGCCGATCTTCTCATTCAGCGTAGCTATTTGCTCTGCCAGGACCTTTTGCTTGTCGTTCTTCTCTTTGGCCTTGCGTAGATCCTGTAGAATCTTGTTCCACATATCAGTCTCCTCATTGGCTGCGAGGCCATTGTCCCTGGGGACTGGAGGGCCTCGGGGCCGATTTCGGGACATAATGCGGAGAGAGGGACTCAGGTCCGCAGCTTTATCTTTGGTCTGCTGCTGACCTTTACTGCTTTGAAGTGGAGAGCTCCTACTTGGGGTGGTGGTGTTGTTTAGGGCTGAACTTGCTATTTCCTGCACAGTAAGAGTGGTCGTGGTGGTTGTAGACTTGAGCTTGTCTATGTCGAGGGCCTCCCAAGGGAAAGCGGAGACCAGGTCCTTGCGAGCCGAGCTGCGTGTTCCACGCGCTGCGCCCTGTCTCTGATCGTGGGGTCGACCTTCAGAGGAAGAGTTCAGAGAAGCAGCAGGCGGCCCTGGAGTTGAACACCTCTGACTCCCGACAGCAGTCTGAGGCTGAGGAGATGGTAGGTGTTGGAGCTGAGAGGCTGAAGCCGAAGCTGCTGGCGATGCTTGTGATGCTTCCACGGCCTCGTCGCGGACATTCTCTCCGACGGCGGCGTCATGATCTTGGCGCGTCGCCGTCGTCTTCTTCTTTCGGCTGCGACTGGTCGGCAGACGCTTGGTACTCCATGGCATTCCCTGATTGGCAGAGACCATCACGGTCTGGCTCACGTAAGGTAACTAACCTGAACCGAGTAAAGTAAACACAACCAGTCCGATAGTGACTTACGTAAGGACGCTAAGCCTGGAAGTTGTACCGGGACGCATGTGGAATCACCGAATTGGGGAACCAGCAAGACAATCGGACGAATCTGGAGGGGCAGATTTCAAGGGAATGGATGGATGGAGGGATGATGGAGGATGGAGGGAGGTGAGGCCGAGAACAGTGGTGTTAATGTGAGGTGGGATGGGTAACATCTCTTCTTCTTCTTCTGAGACTGAGAGTCTTCTTTTCTTTTCTACTTTACTTTTTTCCTTCCTCCTTCTCCCCTCTCCTTCATTCACTCTAGCTTCCCTAGGAAGAATAACCCATTAGTGAATATCATATCCACCCCTCCTCCCGCTCTTTGCTGCCCTGGCCCTTCCTGAGCTCCCCTCCCCCACCCCACTATCATATCATAGAGCCTGGGTTCTGTTATCGACAACACCCATTATTATCCCCTTCATCTCCGCCAACATGCAGGTCCCATTGCTCCGGCTTCAATGTGGTAAGTGTAACTTCTTCTATCTCTATTTAAAATATAGTCCTAGGCTGACAGTCTAACTCGATCTCTGCAGGTGTTAATAGTTATGACTGGGGTAAGAGCTCCCCGCACCCCGATTCTTTACCCGCCTGCCTTTCGCTGAACCCTCATCCCAGGCAAAATCGGCCACGATTCTGCGGCTGCCAAGTATGCAGCTACCTCGTCTGACTCGGACTTCTCGATAGAGGCAGAGAAGCCTTATGCAGAGGTTGGTACACCTGGTGGTTGAGCCGCCGCAAGCTGTCGACTGACCCGATGACGTATAGCTATGGATGGGCACGCACCCTTCCCTGCCCTCCAAAGATTTCGAGACCAAGCGGACCTTGCTCGATATGGTCCAGGATAACCAGGCTCTGATGTCTGCCGAGGTCAGCGAGCGATATGGCGGGAAGTTGCCGTTCCTGTTCAAGGTGCTTTCTGTCCAGAAAGCTCTTAGCATCCAAGCGCACCCCAACAAGAAGCTTGCAGAAAAGCTCCATGCGAAAGACCCTCGCAACTACCCTGGTAACTAGCTCATGATCCTTGTCAGACCCCATAGTGATAGTACTGCAGCTGACTTCAAATTGTCGTTTCGCAGATGACAACCACAAGCCTGAAATGGCCATCGCGATAACTCCTTTCGAAGGCCTGTGCAGCTTCCGTCCCCTCGATCAGATCACACACTTTCTGAAGGCCGTCAAACCCCTCCGCAATCTGGTTGGGGAGCAGGCTGCCAGTGAGTTCGAGCGCACCGTTCAGGGTTCCGAGAGTTCGGAAGACCCTGAGGTAACCTCCAAGAACAAGGACGCTCTGCGCACGCTCTTCACCACATTGATGAAGTCCTCTCCCGAGGACATTGCGGCGGCCACTAAGGAACTAGTCGAAGCCACTCAACAACCAGACACGTTTGCGACTTCGTCTACCTCTCCCGAGACGAATCCTAGCAACCCGGCCGAATTGGCTGCTATCATCACTCGCCTCAATGGCCAGTTCCCCGATGATATCGGTCTCTTTGTATTCTTCTTCCTCAACTTCGTGAAACTCGCCCCCGGTGAGGCTATGTTTTTGAAGGCCGATGACATCCACGCCTACGTTTCCGGCGACATCATTGAATGCATGGCGTCATCCGACAACGTCGTGCGGGCCGGGTTCACCCCCAAATTCAAGGACGTGGACACGCTCACAGAGATGTTGACGTACTCATATGCGCCCATCGAGGAGCAGAAGCTGCAGCCGACCGACTACCCGTACGTCGTGCTCAACGCGCCGGCGTACTCGAGCGGCTCATCCTGTCTGCTCTACGACCCGCCCATTGAGGAATTTAGCGTCGTCAAGACGGAACTCCGGAGACCCGGCGCCAAGGCGACTTTCGACGGCCTGGTCGGCCCTAGCATTCTGATCTGCACGGGCGGAGCCGGAAAGATCACCGTTGGCCACAAGTCGGAGGAAGTCAAGGAGGGCTATGTGTTCTTCGTAGGCGCCAATGCCGAGTGCATTGTCGAGAGCACCGACAGCGGAGAGGAGAATCCGTTCGTCACGTATAAGGCGTTCTGCGATCTGACTGGCAAGGAAGACATGGCGAATGGCAATTAGGTTGTAAGCAAAGTCAGTTTGCCTCATTTGCGTCAAGTCCATCAGTCCTACATAAATACTTAATTTCGGGCCTATTTTCAATCTGAATTATCTTCGGAGGTATATAAGTCTGGTCCAACCTGTCACTTTGTTTGCTGTGCATCACAAGAGAAAGAGGTCATTTCTGCCGTGCCGGGGTACGTCCAGCCTTTATGAAACTGTTTGGAATCCCCCACACTCGAAAAGGACGAAGTATGAAGACATCGCTTAATATTTACTGGTAGTACGAAAGCTATGCCATCGTATGGATTCATCATGAAAGGAGCAACTTGCGCTAGAGGGTGATACTAAATGTAAACTTCAAGAAAGGAGGAAACAAATGCAGAGTCAAAACACAGCAGCGCCTAGCACTCAACTTAGGCCGACACCCTAGGGGCGTACTTAGCCGCCGCAGAGTCAAAGAGATCACTCTTCTCCTGGATATCGCTCAACAGAGGATGCGACGGGTGAGTCTGCTGGAGACGTCTATAACAAACACATATCAAAATTAGCATCCGCTCAGCACCAGATCTTACGGGAGACATACCCTTCCAACTCCTCCGCCGATTTGCCAGCGAGAACATTCAACACGATCGCATTGGCGATCACCTCAGCATCGTCGGGATATTTCTCCAGCGCCGTGGACAGCGCCGCCTCCGCCTCGGGGAGTCTCCCCAGGTGCAGCTCGGCGACGGCCTGGCCGACGATCGACAGCGGGGCGGCGGTGCCGGGCGCGGAGGCCAGTTCCTCGTAAACGTAGAAGGCCGCTTGGTATTTCTCGCCACCCTGGACACGTCGAATCGGTCAGTAACTGTAGCGATCGCGCAAGAAGTTCGCCCATGATCGGTCGGCTGGAGAACGCTAACTCTCCTGGGACATGTCGGACAGGGCAAGGGGGGACACGAAGGGGCAAGGACATACGACTCTCAACCCCACCCACGATTCCGCCAGGTTGACCAGCAGCGAATCCTGCGCCCAGCGCTTGGCGGCCTGCACTTCTTTCAGGGCGAGATCGGATCGGTTCTGGTGGAGGTGGATCTGCACGATTAAGGCGACGCTGTAGGCGCTCGAATCAGCCCCCTATTTCCCCAGACGCAAAACACCCAAAGAGCCCAGTGCCGTCAGTAGGGGGTGCGAACTTACGCCTCCAAACTTCCCTGATGCTTGGCCAACAGCGCCAGCGCCTCCTCACTGCGTCCCTGGGCCTGCAGCACCGTGCCGGCCAGGACCTGCACGGTGCCGTTGTCGGGAAAGTTCTCGGCGAGGTCCTGGGCGAGGGTGTGCGCCGACTCGAGATCGCCGGCCGACTGCTGCGCCAGGGCCTTCACCGCGGCCAGGTCCGGGTTGCTGTCGTCCTCGCCGGCGAGCTCGGCCAGCACGGCGGCGGACTGGCCCAGCGCGATCTGGGCGCGGAGCTGGAGGATGCGGGCGGGGAGCTGGTTCTCCGGGGAGAGGACCGCGGGGTCGAAGTCGATCACGGCGGGATATTGGCCTTGGTGGAAGGCATTGTGGATGTTGATTAATTCTGTGGAGGAGGGTTGTTAGCAGGGTTTGGTTGTTTTTTGTTACCTAGGCTGGTATAATTCGAGAGAACGGGTTGCGGTTGCGGGGAGTGGATGAAGAGCTTGAGGGAGGAAGTAAAGGGGGCATTGTATGTCATTAGGGTCAAGAAACCTACCGCCTTCTGCTGAGAATGGGTCCATTGTAGCGAGAATAGTTCAAGAAGTATTCGAATGTCGAATCGAGGGCCAGGTCAGTTCGGAGATAGTAGCAATCTAGTAAATGGCTTGGATGCGGAGGGCGGTCGGGAAAGTCGTCACGTTGCCTTTACGGGAGTCCGGCGGATGGCAGGTGGACCGAGAACTGGGCAAGTCATCCGAGCCAGGCTCCGCCGTCCGTTCATATGAAATACTCAAATGCTCTACAAAAGATGACTACCACTCATACATTCAAAGATCATGATCGTTCTTCAATTTGTCATCGAATTGAGCTTGCAGAAATAGCGACCCAGCCGCATAATTCGTGTTAAAACAGGAGATTGAAAGACAAAATAAATCAAGTCGTGATTCTCCTCCACATCGAGGACTTTATCAATTCCCCTTGAAAACAAGTGACAGATGGGAAATGTTGAGATCATGAAGATGCAATGTCGCCACAAGAAGACCTCGGCCTCATTAACAATGCTCGACTTCCTGCGTGTAACTCCTCGACCGTCGATGCCCACGCAACCCAAAATGCAAATGATGATGATTGTCATGATTGATACGCCACCTGGAGTTGAGGTCGTAGGCCTGAGGACCGAACCGTAGTGTAACGAATGCAAAACCCAGGAAGAAGCCACGCAAAATAAACAGATAGGATATGGATAAAGTTCGCACCGGGATGCGGTCAGCAAAAAGAAAGAAGAATAAGACAAGACTCAAAGCAGAGGGTATCGCCACATAAATCAGGGTACTCCGGCAGAATAGTATAGGAACAAATCAAAAAAACAAGACACAGAAACACCGTTCGGCCATCCGGACGCTAAACAGTGGCCATGCATCTTTCACTGCCTCATAGAACAAAACAACCAGTTGCGAGATGATGCTTTCCATCCAGCCCACCTGTGGCTTCCTCGGCAGCTGAAATGCACCCAAGGCTCCAAAAACATAAATGCAAACAAATAATAACACAAATCAATGCAGTCAAGCTGGGATAACGCCATTCCTATACTTGCACATTGAACGAGATGGACAAGATCATGATGACAAGGTAAGCTGGCTAAGAGAGGACGGCAGGAGTGAAGGCGTGGCGTCAGTTGAGCATGACGATGCACAGGGACATCTGATGTCAAGCGATTCAGGGAAATGAAGACGAAGTAGAAGCTGCCGAAACCGTCGGAGTCAGCGCGGGGGATGTGGGAGAAGTATTATCATCGGGAGTCATTGGAGCTTCACTGCCTTTGTCGGAGCCAGTGTCCCGGTCCCTTTCGGTGGATGAGGCTCGTTTGAAGACAGACTGGCCGATTTGACGGAAAATTCCCATTCGCTCAGCGCGGAGCTCTTCCGCATCAAGACGCTGAACTGAGACAGGGTCTTCCTTGGTGATCTTGCAGAACAGCGTGGAAAGCAGGTACTGGTCACCACCAGTGTCACAGAGGGGCAGGTAGCGGTATCCTTGCGAAAGGCTGCTGAGTTTAGCTGTGAATGTGGCCAGCTGCACACTGTTATTGTTTCCTGCACTGCGGCCATCCAACGAGCTCCAGACCGTCCAACGTACAAAGACCAGGTCGGGGTATTTGGTTTCTAGCGAGAGCTTGAACCGATCATTGAAGATGGGACTGTAGCCATTGCTCTGTTCAATTTTGGTACGCCGACGGTGAGGATACCCGATCCCTGACATACCATTGCGAGCCGAGGCATCCATGCCTCCCTCGCCAAGTACAAAACTTTGACCACGATCATCTGCACTGAACATCTCGATTTCGACATAGGGATTGATGTAATCCTCTGGTCCAAGGCTGCGGGGGCGGGGCAGTTGCTGAGCAGAGATAACATCGACCGAGAATCTGACGAGTTTCCTCTCCTTGCCCTTCGCTGCCTCTTCACCAAGACGCACAGTGCGGAGGGACTCGGGCTTGAGAACATATCCCGTACGATCCGTTCCGGCTGCAAACATTGCATGGTTCATTTGCATGCCGACGTCGTAAGTCTGCCAATTCAGGGCCGCCATCTGCACACCACGCCGCCAGAACTTGAGTGGATCAAAGTTGGACGACCGTAAGCGGAACCCCGAGGGATAGACTCTGGTGAGATATTTCCTATTATGCCTCTCGAACAGAGCCTTATTGTCCATGTCGCGGCAGATGCTCTCGAAAGAGCGCTCGGCAAAGGAATACACGTGGTTGTATTGCTGACTTTCCGGAGAGAAAAAGCTATGCCACTTATAGCCGCGGGTGTAGACTCCCAGGTCCGACAAAGGCTTGGTTATCTTGCTCTTCTGGCTTCGTCTTCGCTCCTTCTGACTGGTCGAAAACATGTTGGTGTCACTGTCCTCTGTAGCACTGCTAATGCTAGTGGTCGTGAAAGAGCGTCGATCGTATGTCAGAAATGTATCGGCGCTGTCCGGGCCAACAGTGGTCGAGCTTGTTAGCGGAGGGAGATTGAAGGTCATCTGATGCTCGGGCACCATCGGTCGAATGAACGGAGAGCTTGAACTGCGTTTGCGACCAGAGCTCATAATTGAGGTTGACGTTTCTTGACGCATGTCCATTTGAGGCTCGTCGCATACCTTGACTTTGACCAGGATGCGACCTTTAAGTTCTTCAGGCGAGGGCAGAACGAATGTGTTATTGAGGAGCGGCTCTAGGACAAGTTGATCTTTGAAGGTCTCCCTCATAATTCTCACCATGGCCAACTGTTGCTCGGGACAACAATGGACCTCAAGAGAGAGAATAAGGGGATAGTCACTGCTGATGAACGCGTACCGATTGATGACGGTGATGCAATCCGCAAATAGCACGCTGGTGGTCATGGTTCTTCCGTGAGAGACAATGGGCCGACCATCCGCGCCATCCCAGCAGTCTATTTCTACACAACGACAGCCTTGCGACAATGCGCTGATGTAAGCTTCTGTGCTGGATGCCCCAGCCACCTGACGTCCCAGGAGGTAAGTGTTGTGTGAGCTTGAAATGAAGTATTCATTCAATGGTCGGTCGAATCGAGACTGGGGAGCTCGGGAGGCATAAATCCCATTTGCGGAGGAGGCCAAGAAAGAAGAGAAAGCATCAACACTCATTCGGGAGACCTGGTTGTCACCGTGTTCCGGAATGCTCGGCGTGCGCGGCTTTGACTTGCGGACAAACTTGTCAAAGATAGATGTCCAATGGGCTTGATCCGAGTCAACGTCCTCATTCTGAACATCACGAAGGAACGATAGGAATTCGTCGAGAGTGAGGCCGTCAGAGTTGAAAGCATTGTCCTTGAAGATCATCTTCACATCTTTCCGCTCCTTCAGTCTAGCAACGAAGTCACTAAACTCGGAAAAGTACAACTTGCCCTTGTTGTTGATGTCAGCCTTGGAGAACTGGGCGCGCAGCATGTTCTTCGAGCAATTGATGTGCAGGCTGCGGCAGACACCCTCCACGGCTTCGAAATCAAGGCTCTCCTGATCGCCTGGCTTGAGACCCTGGGGGTATAATAATTGCATCTCACGCTGCCAGTGAGCCTTCAGGACCGCCTCGCTCTGTCCGGATCCTGCCAGACCAGCCATGAGACCTATCCTGTAACGAGAAATATGTTCGAGGGTTGAAGTCCAGAGCTCAAGAATGTGGTCATTCGGAGCGATGAGGTGCATTGTTTTGACCGTACGGCCTTTGAAGCGTTCCGCATCAGCAATAACAATTGTAAACCATCGACCTTCGAGTTCTTCTGGGACCTGGTGCTCTTCGCGGTAATTCCGCGCATCGGCCCCGACACGGATTTCCTTCACATCGTCGATATAGAACCGTTTTGCTGGATTGGAGGGATCCCAGTAGACTTTGCCAGCATCGAGATCCAGGAAGAAACGCACTTGTTTGCGGCGCTTTTTCGTGACCTTGGTCAATATCGTGCCACGTTGGATTGCCCCGTCAACCTTAGGCGCAACCACACCACAGTTGCGGGAAGCCGTCATTGAGCTATCATTTGGTAGGCTGGATGCTTCTGGACCACAGGCGCCGTTGGTTTCCAAGGCATCATTGCTGTCTTCCTCGTTGCTAGATTCCAGGGCGTTCTCCCAGCTGTTCTGAGCAGTCTTGCTATCGCTTCGTCTGCGCATGATAACCGGTCCGGAGCTTCGATCTCGCTTGTCATTGTGGGTGGTGGAAGTACGTCTTCTCGTGAGCTTGCTCGCTGCTCCACGTGAGATTCTACGCATCAAACCGGGGCCTTTGTTCGTGTTCTGCGTGATGATATCTGCCGAGCCAGAGGTGATGGCGTAGCCAGGAACAGCCATCTCGGACTCTCCAAGCTCGAAAGTGCCAGGCGGTATAAGAGGGGCAGTGGACAGTCGCCCTCGAAGAGAGTCAGAGGGGATATGTAAGGGTGTGCCTGAGGGGCTTGAAGCATTTGAGTAGTTGTAGGTTGAGTGAGTAGAGTTTGGGGTGGCTGAGTAAGAGGAGTAGAAGCTTGCCGATGAGGGATTGGAGGCAGGCGGGATTGAGGTAATGACATTATGTAGTTTGGGGGGTTGAGAGAGTGAGCCAGTGAGTTTTAAACTTGCTTGACTGTCGCCATTGAGGGTGGAAGGCGATGAAGTAGCAGCGTAAGCCATTGCGGAAACCTAGCAGACGTAGTACCCAGCTGCAAGATGTGAGATTGTAGACCTGCCGTGAACCGTGCCAATGCCTGAGTCACCTGGACCCTAGGAGGACGAATGAACAACGACACACACAACGATTAGGCGGCTGTGGTGACCCTGGAATGGTAGCCTGTCACTGTAATGCAATACGAGCCGGAATGGGGATCGTGTCTGGCTGAGTGATGCAAAAGCCACTTCCTTAGCGGGATTGCGGTTTTGATATCTGCATCTTGGCCTGCCTCTGATGCAATGCGGAGAGCCCTGCCAGAGAGCGCTCGCGATGGTTTGGGGTACGGGTTCCTGATAACAACTGAAACAGACACCGACTCTGTGTAACAATCGGCTCGGCGGGGGTGGGTAGGCCTAGAGTCTCTGCGTTCCAACTCAATTGACCCAGTACGTCTGATGACTTGACACCGGCTAATAATCTGTCTCCTGCGCTGTTTTCTTTTCCTTTTTGAAACCAGGGAATATCCTGTTCCCTGGGTGCCTTCTCGTTTTATTTCGCCCTGTTTGTGATCTCCGCTTTCTGTCTGTGTCTGAATCCTGATTCAAGCCCCTCTTCGAATTTGCCGATCTCCTAATGCGCGGGGAAAGCTGTACTCTGCAGCAGGAATGGGAGGACGTGCGAAGCTGGGCCAATTGGGCGGGATCGGGGATGGTGAGCAAGGCTGTTTCCTGTTGGTAACAGGGAGAGGGCCGATGACCGCTTAGAAAGGAAACGAGTATTATGCAAGTCAAAGCCGTATGCGCTGCGCATGTGCTTAGCTGTCAGCAGAGCCCCTCCACAGGTAGCTTGTACAGGCGCCGGTAATGGTAGGGATTGAGCTTTGCGTCGGCTGGGCGTTACTGGGGAGCGACTAAGGGCAGACGGCGAGAGGGTAAGGGTATCGGCGACGAGGATCGGAACTGCAAATGCAGGATTGCCTGCCAGCGCAGTGATGCAGGTGGTCGAAAGGGGAAGGGCGACAAATGTGAGCAATCGGAGATTGGACCGACAAGGGAAGTCGTGAAGGCTGCGATTGTCTAGTGCGGACCGATGTGTAGCTTTTTTCCAATTTCCTGCACGGTTACGTGGAGTGTAGCAGAGGACCTGCAGCGAAAGAGCGCCAGGATGGTGAGTAAGAGTCGATGATCATGCGACGGAGGAAACCGTGCCAGCGTTGTTCCTTCGTTTAGGGAAATTTCCACTGCACTTGCGCAAGTCGGGGGAAGAGGACGGAAGGGTTATAGAAGGAGAGATTTGGATGGGGGGTGGGGAATGGTTGGTGATGGACGGTGATAGTGATGGTGATGGTGGTGGTGGGGGGCAAGGGAAAGGTAGAATAAGATTGTTGAGTGGGAATCAACTTTCGCCCTCTTAAGAATCTCCCATCCACGCGAATTGCTGCGGCGTCGTACAGACAAGGGAGAACTTTCGGGGGGAAGGATTTTGGAAGGTCGAATTCGAAGAACCCGCTGGATGTTTCAACTGAAAGAAAGCTGGAGTGGGTACTTTCTGACGTACTGTGTGTAGTAATTCTTGTACTGTCACACGTTCTGATACACGTATGAGTCTTGTCCACCAGTGAAAACTCAAGATTGGTTTCCACCCAGGCGTAATCCACGATTGGGAAAAAAAAATATTTCCAGAAAAACAAGGAAGAAAGCGGAGGAGAAATTGAGCGAGTCACTCTTTTCCCAAGTACTTGTCTTAGCCTAGTTCGTTCAATCTGCGAAAAGAACTAAAGGCAACTAATACCAGTCAGATCAATCAGCAAGGTCTGAAAAATACACCGCTTTGGCCTTGAGATACGCAGTGAAACTGACAGGTAATGATGATATAAGATCAGGATAATGATGATGGATGGACGGTCCTGGACAGGAGTGATGATAACAGAGGCGTTTTTTTTCTGAGCGGTAAAGATGGGATGTCTTTTGGCCAGACCTTTGCTTTTTTTCGGCTCTTCCCAAACTTATATTGAAACAAGCAAGTTAAGTTCAAGTGCCTTTTTCTTTCGAATGGAACAACAAGCCAGGCGATGGGGAAAGGGAGGTTTGTATGCCCTAAATACTACGAGGTAAAATGGGGAAGGGGTAGACACTCGAATTCAGGTATGCTGATAGTCTAATTGAAATGGGCCGATAATTATTGCTGGGCACCTTTTTTTTTGTTTTTGATTTTGCTAAGATTGGGGGTCTGAGGGGTTGAGGGGGTTGAGTGAGCTGTTCATCATGATACATAATGACAGCAGCCCAAGGAACAATATTCAGACCAAGCAAGCATGATCATGAGATCATTTGAGGCCATCTGTGTACCCCCTTCCACTTATCTCCTTTCCATTAACCCCCCCTCCCCCTCCTGCCCTATCAGGCCCTTTTGTCTTCTCCCTGTCACGATTGAACTCTGATAATGCGGAGAAAAGCCAACCAATGTTTCTTTTTGCTTCACTTTTGTTGTGAGATACCTCAGAGCCTATAGTCTGTCAACCAGGAAAGAACTTCCATTATCTGATTCTTTATCTGGTTGATTTTGTTTTTTTCCCTTTCGAATTTCCATCGAACTATTTTACCCAGCGAAGAAGATCAGCCAGTCCAGCGAACAGCCCTGAAGTATTGGGCGATCATTCCTCGATGGGTATCACTATCAGTCCTGCGCATCGCCGATGCTGACAGGAAAGAATTGGTTTCACATTCTTCAACCCCAACATTCGCTGTCCTTCTGGAAGAAAAAAAGGGGGAAGCAGATAGCCGGGTTTATCAGTTGCTATGGAGCTCCCAAGTGGACACAAGCTATCGTCTTTGGGTTCAGAAAGAAGAGAGACAATGAATCTCCACAAGGAAAATCGATACGCGACGGAGTACGGAGTTAGTCTCCACCAGCGCTGCACTACGAGAGCCTACGAGGTCTATACTACCAGTAGTAACGGGAGTGACTGATACTATGGAATTATGAGGAGACGGAAGCATGCCTTACCGTCGATCCACATGCACTATTACATGTACAAAGCTATCACGAAATATGAGGTTACAAATTGTTGATTGTTTTTTTTTCTTTCTTTTCTTCCCTAGGGCACCGACACAGCGGTCCTTCTGGGGAAATTGATTTGTGTGGAGCCTGCCTGCTTTGTCCCCCTCGTTCAGCCAAGCGAACGGCGAACCTTGAACCTACTACGGAATACTACTACGTACAGGACTCAAGGTAATCCTGTCTTGTCGACTGATGAAGTTATGATTCTTTCGGGCTGATGCTGCATGCGGTGAATGTGCGAAGCTCACCTCTTTCATCCACGGACTATTGCTCCCTAGTCGGCAAATAAGCTGCGTCTCCGACTATCGGATATTCGGTCACCTGACACACACATGTAGTAATGAGCGAAGCACTAAGTGAAAATCAATGATTTCCGTTTTCTTTCGGTTTCCGACCCATGCCCTAGTCATTGCAAGGTCGTCCGGCCCCCTCGTTCTACCTTTAGGAGTCATAGCCTCATAGGAGGAGGTAGGAAAGGAGGGGAATGAGGATAAGGGGAAATATCGAAAAGCGCCTAAGAAGATGACGGCCGGTGCCGCTTCATCCCTACTGGACATCATTGTGGGGTGTTCCAGTCCCTAAATTCGCAAGTTATGTATCGGGCGCAAGAATGTTTTGAAACAGTTGTATGTATTGGTATCGTGACCGGGAAGTGTTGGATACTCACGACTGAGTAATCACGGAGGGAGCGGGCGGGCGGGAATTTGATTGAGTCATCATCGACAGCCCAGCCCTAGGGTGAACGCGGGGGGAAAGCAGGGAATGTGCACTAGTACGTCCATGGTAATCGTTACACGCAGTTGGGAGGAATGCTGGGGCTGGAGGCTGGAGCGGTGGCAGTGGCAGTGTCACCACCAACTCTGGGCGGTGCAGCAAGGGGAAAGGGGGCTGCAAAGTGGACACACATTTATTTGATACACCAATGTTGAACCTTAACGGGTCCTTAAGATTTCCACCGGGAGATAATTACAAACAAACGACTGCAATATGTAACGAGATCTGATGGAACCAACATTGCTAAACCCTTGATTGTCGTCTGTATGTTAGTCAGTGAGTTGGCAGGAAATACTCTTCCTAAGGTGTCCAGTTGATCAATTCCATTATTTACATACAAGGTACGGTGATCACCAAAGGTCAACAATCACGCAACTCAAGCATTGGCTGTCTACTTTCTTGGACCCTGAGGCAAGGCAATTGACTTGCCTGATCACCTGTACTGTACTCCGTACTCCGTACAATAAGCCGAGACGGACTTCTGACTAGAGTGCATGTATGTACTACCGAAACCTTTACATTGCTTAATTTACTGTTGTCGACTATACTGGTGGACGATTGTTGCGCGATGGTTTCAACAACCCAAAAAATACATTGCAGGTTATTTGGTAGTGCTCGGTGGCCTCGTTGAAGCTCTCCATTGTCACCATTGAGACATGAGGAGCAGGGGCAGCCGAATACTAGGAACCTGATGCTCAAGAATAGCGGTCAGACGTGAGCCGGTAAGTAGTACTGAGTCGGCTCCGACTTTCTCCCATTCCCTATCGCCGAAAAGAGTAATCCTCGACTGTTTTATACGATAATCCGTACTTGGGCTTGAAATACATTCTATCACGTGCTTCCCACGATTGTGGCTGGTGAATCACGATCTGCAGGCAGACTTCATCTCTTATGGCACCTTGCTCTGGGGTACTCTGTGGTATGAATGAAGGGGCTGAGAGAATGATATTGTTGCTTGGAAAAGACACCAACAACCATCATAACCATCGATCTTAGGTAGACTCAGTGACTCTGCCAGAGAGGATAGGAGACGAGGGCTGTCTGGAAGTAAATTCTGCTTAATCCCGTTGCAGTAAATGCGGGGTGATCGACTGAGCTTTCTTCAGGTCTCCCGTCGATCGGGAGCGACAACAGTTCATCGCCGTTGATCGTGGAGATGCATGTTCACTCACCCACAGAACTGGCACCG